TTCTTAGGATTCTTCATGATCGTAAAACGCAAAATGCCATTCTCATCATGACGATACCTATGTTACCCAAAGAGCCAGGTCATGACGGTTTTATGATGGTTCAGGGTTGAAAGGGTGTTCACAGGATCTCAAAGTGGATTTCTGTAAGGGGAGTCATGGGGTTGCTGCTGACCTATGCTAACTGCTTATTACTTCACAGAATTATAAGTTTTGGAGATATCTGGGCCGGAAAAACGAACAAGTCGTGCCAGCCTCGGTGTCAGAAGATGTCAGAAGTGGGGTTGGGTTCTTAGGTCAATCCTGTCACATTGTTGCACCCAACCCGCGACCCCTAGGTGTACCGACATCATGTAGTACTAATTTTGACCCTCGACTGCGCAAATGGGCACTTCAAGGCCAAGCCATGTACAGGATATCGACTTGGTTTCTTGTTTCATATAATTAGAGCCCTAATTCTATTTAAATACATTTGGGTACTGTTCCTATACTATGTAGGTACGTGGACCCTTTAGGATAAGTCTAGCCAATGCATCTCTTCTTGAGAAGCCTCCGGCACTGTAGAGCTCCATCGCCCTCAGACGCCAGGGACCCGAAACCTCCATGTCCTCAGCCCTATCATGCCCACCTCTCTTTATCAAAATTCCAGAGGCCTGTACATCCTAGAATCCTACACCTTGAAGCCTTCCTTGAAACCCACAACAAACGCAATAAAACCCGGAAATCCTGAAAACAAAAAATAAAAAAAATAAAAACACAACTACTTTAATGAAGCCTGAGCTCCGAAGGCCACACCCCTACATCCCCAAAACCGTCAACCCCAACCCTACGCAAGCCGTTGCATGCCTCTTATAAGATCAGACTTACTTCCCTCCGATGCAGCATTGCAGCCCCTATACCTTAAACCCTATAAACCCTGAACCCTGAACCCTAAACCCTAAACCCTAAACCCTAAACCCTGAAACCCTAAACCCTAATTCCTGAGAGCCGAGCCACAGAGGTTTGATGAAGTGGAAGTCCGCAGCATTCCGATCAGCACCTCGGCCTTATGAAAGGCTAGGGTTTATGACTTATATAGTAGCTGAGTGGATACACTTTACACTTTACACTTTTTGGGATAATATTACCCACTATAAACCTGAAAGTGTAAACGTTTTGGGGCTTCTGAACTCAGCAACTAAAACTTTGGCTCTCAGGGTTTAGGGTTAGGCTTGAGGGTTTGGGCAGGTGTGGGAGTTCTGCAAGGGGGTCTATAGGGGCTCTAGAGGGGTTTTCGGTTAGCCCTGATCAGGGCTTCTATGGGTTCTAGAAGTGTTTGGGGTTCAGGCCGTGAAATGGTTTTAGCAGGGTTGGTTCTAGACGGGGGAATAGAAGGGTTCGATTGCAGCAGGGTTTTGCGGAGGGCTTGTGGGGGTCTTTGAAAGGGTACTAGATTGGCTCTATATGTGGGGGCTCTACAAGAAGATTCCGGGCTTATAAGGGTTCCGCTAGGGCCTACCGCTAGGATTTCTACAATATCAAGCGCAACTCCTGCTCATTTCGGAGTTCAGTGTTGTTGCTCAGGCTTCAAGTAATTAAGTGTTTCAGGGTTACCTCGCCCAAAATCCCTTAGGTTGTAGGGGAGTTTCGCGTTTAGGGCACCCTGACTCTCAAGCCTGATCCCAATAACACCCTAACCCTAAACCCAGAGGGTCCAAGCACTCCCTATTATAGGACTTTAGGGCCCTTTTAGGTACCAAAAACCATAAATAGGTATACCTTAAATTACCAAACCCTACTATTTTGTAGGTTCTTGTTATAAACCCTAATAATTATGGAGTTTATAGGGACCCTACAAAAAAGTAGGTTTTGGTAGGTTAAGGTACTTGGACCCTTAGGGTAAACCCTAGATGCCGAAACCGATGCGCGGGGGGTTCAGGCCCCAGCTGGACTTTCAGCATCCAGAGCGCCGTGAACCGGGAGCCTCCTGTGATCACGGCCTCATGCTCAGCTCAGTTTAGGGTTTAGGGTTTTAGGGGTTTAGGGGTTTAGGGTTTAGGGGTTGGGTTTAGGGTTTAGGGGTTCAGGGTTTAGGGGTTTTGGGTTTAGGGTTTAGGGTCCAGTTTAGGGGTTTGGAGTGTTTCAGGGTTTGGGACATGGAAATTAGGGAATCGGGTTCAGGGTCTGGGGATTGGGGTTTCTGGGTTTCGGAATTTAGGCTGCCGAGATTAGAGATTCGGGTTTAGGTTGTCGAGATTAGGGTTTAGGGGTCCGGTGCATCGTGATCGCGGCATTTTGCTCAGCTTAGAGGCTTAGAGTACCTAGACCCCCAACTACCCTCTAATATACCCGAAATAGTTACTCACTATCAAGGGCCATAGTTAAAGACTCTATTAAAGGGTCCTTGTGCTGGTAGGGTTTTGGGTTGCAGCGAAGCGGCCTGTGAAGAACCCGGGGTTTAGGATTTAGTGCTTTAGGGTCTAGGTTTTAGGGTTATTAGGGTTTAGGACCGTGCTGAAGTGCATTTTTGGGTATCACATTTTTCCAGACTCGTCGTGGACGGGCGCGGAGGCGGGTGTCAATTTGGGGGGAGTTGCGGTGATTGAGCTTTGGCCTCTATTTCCACATAGTCCATGCACGCATCCGAGATCTAAAGCGCATGCCATTTCAGCTACTTGGAGGGTCGGGAGACTTAGTAAGTAGTTATTTTATAGAGTTATAAGTATCATGACCCCAACTAGGATCCCGTTTAGGGTACTTATAACTCTACATACTAAGTCCCCCGACCGTCCAAGTAGGCCATATATTCTGATCATATGCATGACCCCCGCAGATCCTTGCGTGTGGAAACCGCACTAGACCCTATAATTGGCACTCACCCCAAGCACCTTGCAATAATCTCTGAAGTCCTTAGAGCCGACTATAGGTGCCTAAACATTTACCAATACTGTTCTCTTGGGGGTCTTGAATATGAATACAGTGACAGTATAATGGGCCCCAAGACCCTGTTCTAATCATACAGGCGAATATGATTCCTCAGGGTTCCTATAACTCTACCATAAAGGAGCCCAAACCGTATAATTATTAAGTAACCCTAAGGGTCCATGTACCCATCTAGAGATACATGAGCCCCAAAGTAGCTATATAGCGACTACATTAAGGCCAATGTATATACTATATGAGTACATGGACCCTTAGGGTAAGGCCCCTACATTACATGCTCCAGCAGCCTTTAGGTCCAGAAGCTCTGTGAGCTCATCGAAGTCGCGCCGCAATCCGCAGCTGGGCTGTGCTTTGGGATAATTTTTAATTTCCCTTGTTTCCTTACAAAGGGTTTAGGGTTTAGGGTTTAGGAAGGGAACCTATTCATAAAATAGTTTTCATAGGGTTTAAAGCACAACCCAGGCAGTGGACCTCCTTGACATGCTCACGGCAAAGCCAAAGGAGCTTCTCCCGGGGGGTCCAGGGGTGAGAATGTGGCTTTGTTTTGAAGGCTTTATGCAGTGTTAGGGGTTACTAAAGGTTTTAGGGTTTTGGGGAGTAAGGTTTACAGATCAGGATTCGTCGGAATTTAGTGTTTGCTTTCACCGCTCAGCATTTGTTGGAATTTAGCACTTGCTGTTCAACGAGTCATGACAATGACTGCTGCTTACAATGATAGCTGGCCGCTTCCCCCCTCAATGCTTCGTGCTCTTTCTGGTATTACAGCTGTCTCGCGACCCTTCTGCCAATAGTCTACTTACCCTCTACGATGGACCAGAAGTGCTCTACTTAAGAGAACCGGGAGTCTGTATATCTGAGTGCATATTGCCTGTCCTATATCCCTCTAGACTTCCATGGAGACCCCGACCCCATGATCCTTTGAATCCATGCTCCCACTTCCACCCTCCACCAACTCCGCAAACTCAGCACTCCAAGGTGCCAAGTACATGGTCGGGGCCCAGAGGTACATACTATACTGTTCCTCGGACCCTAACTGCCTAACCCCTATGCCCTAAACCCTACCCTAAATCCCTCTGTAAACTCAACAGGAAGGGAACAAGTTCCACCGGCCTTTGCCAGCTCCCTCCTCAGCCAGTGCCATCGTTCGCCTGGGCTTAGAGTTCGCCTGATGGTTCATGGACAAATACCCCTGAACCGTCGGCCCTGGACCAAACATGCCTCAAGGTCCTAAGCCTGCACAACTACTTGGAGTTTCATGGGTAGTTATAAGAGGCGTTATACGTACGGTGACTATACTAAAAATCCGTAGTAGAGAGGACATAACTATACCCATGAACCTCCAACTATGCTCCACTGAGCACTCCCTGATGAGATGGTCGTGCCGTGGCAACCTCCGTTGGATCGGAGCCATACCCCGCCTTTTGAATACACGGAATCACGCACAAGAATAATCATAATAGCAATAACAATAAGAGCATTAATATGATCATAGCTGAAATTTATCATGATAAAGTGTCTTTTGGTAACATGGAGCCCTAAACACAAATCAAAAAGGTTCGATAGTCTTCCTCCTAGACCCAGTCCGGTCCCAGGTTCGTGCGAACATTCCGGTGGACCAGGAAGCTTGCCGCCTTTCCTGCCCGGATCTCAGAGCACGTCCTCGGGCATATGTCCGGTAGTTCTTCTTTGTGTGCAGTACAACTTGGCTGCATGCTCAATCATGTTTCAGTAGGGGGTCTTCAAAGGTCTTTGCTGGCGCCGTTCTTACTCTGTCGGCTGCAGTTAGAGCGTTTCAGGGTGTTCGGCTCCAATAGCTTCTGAAGGCTATCGAAGGGGCTTATTGGTCAGGCTTCAAGGTCTTTCTGTAGATCCTACTCAACCCTGGTTCTCTGAAATCACAGTAAGCGCAAGACCTTAAACCTTAAGCCAACAAAAACGTATCTCCATTTGGGTGGTTGTCAGAATCAGGGTCCCTTGGGTACCCTAAATAATAGGTGCCGTACTACATTAGGGACCCCAAAAGGGGACCATAATTTGACAACCACCCATTTCAAGAGTGACCAGGTGTGTACATCACGGAGATGGAGTGGACCTGGAATGCCTCGGAAACGAAGCCTCCAGCTTGGCAGGAGCAAATCGGGTGCTTCTCTTGGCCGTCCTAGGTCCTAACCCAAGACTTGCAGGGACCTTATTATTGGGTCCTTAAAGGGTCTAGGGCCCTAGCTATAAGGTCCTTGGAGGCATTGGGTAAGGGACTCAATGACAAGGTATGTGGGTGTTGGATTAGTGGTTGCCCAGGGTCTGGCATGGAGATGGTTCCGGGCTTGACCGAAGTTAAATGAAGGGTTCTGTTGGTGCTGTTGTACGTACCTGGCAGAGTCCTCTCTCATTCGTATCTGGGTTCGAAACGGCCAATCGGGATCATCATATCGTAAAGCCCTCACGTGGTGACTTAGGTTATCAATTGCATGTGCATGCCTTGTCTTAGGTGGCTCCTATTCCTTCAGGGCGCAGGCTCGCTTGAAACTTGCGGCTTAGGGTTCAGTGTCTCAAAAGATAATTGGAATATCGATTGTATATCCATATGTTCCTTTCCCCAACAGTTCTGAATCAGACGTGCTATCACTGCAAAGGTCCAAACCCTATTCCCGATCTAAACCCGATTCCCCAACACAATCCTTGATCCTTAACCCTAATCCCCGAGCCCTCCAAGCCCCCACCTCCCCCGCTCCCGATGTGATCCGGGCAGGATCAACTGGCGCCGCCCGATCCCAAAAAGAGCCAAGAGGTCACTGTCCGCGTGCTGCTGCTTCCAGGCACTGTCACGCACCCCGTTGTGCTGTTTCGTTTTTTGTTGTTGCTTCTCTTGTTTTGTGTTTGTAAGGGGTGGGATGACGGGGGTTAGGGTGGCGGGTGTAGGGCTTCGGGTTCAGAATTTCTGATGGTTGGGGGGGGGGTCTGCAATTGTATCTTAAATTTTCTCTGAATCTAGATCTGTATCTAGGACGAAAAATGTATGTGTCGTGTTTGGGTGTGTATGTATATATATATATATATATATATATATATAGTGTGTGTGTGTGTATGTATGCATGCATGTATGTATGTTCTATGTGTGTATGAACGTATGTGTGTATGGCTTATGTATGTGTATGTGTATGTGTATATGTATATATAAATATGTTTACAAAGCTGTTCACCAGATAGTCCATACATGACGATCGGATGAGCCTGGCCACTAATATCGTTTTTGCCCCATCCTATCCATCGTATGCTCAACCATCGTGCCGATGTCCTAACGAAGCGCTTACGAAGCCAAATTGAACCCACCATGTTCTTCTAGACTCTACAGCAGCAGGTGTTCTGAACTGTGAAATGGTCCACTGCCTGGCTGCAACCTCAGCATCAGAAGGACCAGGGGAAGGAGTGCTGTAACTTGATAACTTGATAGCAACAGAAGCGTAAGTAATCACCAAGACTCTTCCTTACCCTAGGGCTCCAGGTATACAGATAGTACCTACTCTGGGCTCTAAAGTCTATAAATAGGACCTATTTTGGGCGTTTTGGAGCCCCAGGGTTAGGGTTCCTTCACATAGTACAGGGGCCTGCAGGGCACTGGTCTGGCTGTTGAGGCCCCTACATCACGGTCTTTCTGGCACGTCGGTGGGGGAGGGGTTTAAGGATAGGGGGCTGCATGTTTGAAGTTTCAGTGTTGCGGCTTCTGGGTTTACCAGGCTTGCAAAGGTCTGACAAAGCGCCCACCCCAGACCGAGTACAAGCATCATGAGCCCTGTGCATCCTTAGCCCTACACCCCGAACACCTTGAAAGATCCGTTCCTAAAACTCCGCACCTATAAAAGACCCTCCTTCCACTCTCTCTTCGACCCGACATATCCATTATCAGGGACCACCTACCCCTACTTCTGGGGATAAGGGTGCTCCTGGAACAGACCCTGAATGAAACCCTTGCTCCCTTGGATCCCTGGTTAGAGACCAAGGCGGCCACGAGGGATCAGCGCATTTTCACCAAGCTGGTGATCCATGCGCTGCTGAAGCACTTGTGGCAGGCTTTCAGGCAGGTCGAGGGCGATGGTTCCGTGCATTCCAGGGCTTCCATAGGGATTTTGCAGGTTTGGACGAGCAGAATTCCACGATAGACTTCTGCCATAGCGTACCTCAAAGCCTTATAACTCATAATTCTTATCGTTGTTAAGACGCTATGACAGGCCACGGGCCGACTTCGTCTACGTCTTCTTCCTAAAGCAATGAACCCATAGTCTAACCCCTTCTAACTATCCGAATTATCAGTGAACCTGATTCTTCAATATGCACAAGAGCCGCCTGAAATCTTGCCAAGCAGGCCGATGTTTCTTATCGACCTAGCCCACCAGGCGCGGGGCCCTGGGCTGTTTTGGCGTGTGCAGCGTCTCCGGTTTGATATGTCTTGCTCCAGGTCCTCCAGGTTCAGGGTTCGAAAGGTTCGGGGGAACTGGATTATAGAGGAAAGACAACGATTCAGGCTTCTTCATTGTGGTTATGGTGCAGAAATAGCAACGATTCAGGCTTCTTCATTCTGCTTATGATTACCGTGGCTTTGCATCCAGCTTTGCCTGCATTAGCTCAGCAAAAATGGGCCGATCCTACTGAAACCTACCACGTTGCCGGAGCTAAATGCCTGCTTGCCTTGGGGTCATGCAAGTAGTTACAATACATTCAGGCTTGAGGCCATGTGAGCGATTTGCGGTGACCTAATAGAACATGCCGTGCTGTTGGGTGCAAACCCAAGCGTCAGATCTGTCTATCAGAGCCGCACAATGAGGCAGGTTCCGTGGGTCGAACAAACTGAAGCCGCTGAAGCCTAAGCCCTGAATCCCAAGCCCGAAACGTACAGCAAACACGTAGACCGTAGTCCCCGCCTCCCTATGAATCTGAAAACACTGAATATGGTCTGTTGCAAAATCTAAGCTCTCTTCTCCAGAAGCTTTAGAGTTCTTCCTGAACCCGATGAAATGCGACCTGAGCGCAGATTCTGGCCAATGCAGTGATCTGCTATTGGATCTGGGGCGCTGGCCAGGCTCGTTTTGGGGCGTTCAGCTTTTGGGAACTGGCAGTGTTGTTTGGCTTGGTGGCAAATTTTTTTTGAAAATCAGGATCCCTCCCATCTTGTTCAGGCAGAGGGAGTTCGTTGATCATGACTTCGAAGGCGCAGTTTGTACAGCCCAACCTCGGACACCCGCTCAAAGCTGCAGGTGCAGGCGCCGAAGATGCTGCGCTGCTCGTTGCGGCTGGTCTGCACGAACCCCCCCGCTGATCTTGAGTGCCGCAATATATAACTTGTACCGATGTTGGCCTACTTTGAGGGGAGTGGAAGTCTGGGTCTACCCACATGGTTTCCAGGGGCTGTCGAGAAGTGCGGATCGATTCTTCGCGCGGCAAACTCTTCTTCGAGACTCGCCTCCTCTCCAGTCACAAAGACTAAGCAGGGTGGGTGTTGTGCCTGCGCATGCCATGTAGGGTGCAGGGTTTAGGGTTTAGGGTGAACCACAGAACGGAGAAACCCAACCCCCCGACACTCAGCCCTCCCTACACATGGGTACCTTGTTCTTCTCGACAGGGTTGCGGGATAGCGGAATAATCAAGTACCGGGCTACAATGGCATACTCGTTCCACAAGGATTATGTGGACCCCTATGTGGGTAGTTGTCAAAATTATGGCCCTTTTTTGGGTACCCTAAATATATTAGGTGCCGTATTATATTAGGGACCCACAAAGAGACCACAACTCGGACAACCACCCATGTGCACCATGTATCCTAAATATTAGGTGCTGTATTATATTAGGGACCCACAAAGAGACCACAATTTTGACAACCACCCATGTGCACCGTGTATAAAAAGCTCCGACCAACCAGGTGGGGACTCCTTGCTTCAGAGGGCGTCTCGGAGTGCTTCACTTTCGCCCCTTGGCTTTGAGGGTTGTAGGGCTTAGGGTCTGGGGTTTAGGATTTAGGGTTTAGGGTTTGGGTTATTTCACCCCTGGCTTTCGGTATATTGTTTGGTCGGGTTTTAGGTCTGTTCGTCGCCTGGCTTTTGTCATGCTGAGCTTTTTTTGTGGGAGATGGGGGTCGATAGCGGCCCTTTCTTCATGTTCAGCTTTGGTGGTTCCTGTGTTGGTTGCAGTTTAAGGCTGTAAGGGTTTGATGGGTGCCTGCTTGGGGCTCCCTTGACATGAACTTTACAACTCTCTTCGACTGTGTATCAGCAGCCGTGGTACCTTCAGAGTTCGCTTACGCGTTTGTCGGAGATTCTGGGCGTTGGGATCTTCTGACAGCAGGGCTGGCGGTTTCGGATTTCGTGGTGGGCCACAAGATGAAATCATTCCGGCTTTCGGTGGGAATCATAGTCTGAAGTGATTGATGAGAGTTGTTGTTGCTCTATTTACAATGTTTGCAAATTTTGAAAACCAGCTTGGGGGAGAACCTTGTCGAACCATCTGCCTCAGGGAGGGGCAGCAACCTGGAGCCAATGCATGAAAGCTGAACCGGTTGGGGTCTGTGGGTTTAGGGTTGAGGAAACCCGAAATTGTTACGGCTTCCTTGATATACCTAAAACGTTAATTATATAACCTATAACCTATTTTGATTTGCTAGAACGTAGTAGTAATATCATGTGCTGCAACAAACTGTAATATGCTCTAGCACAACAAAGTCAACGAGTAGGCAAAAGCCAACATGAGTCTCAGGTTTGGACCTTTGTGCATGGCTACAAGCGCCTGAGCTCCTCGGTGCAGCAAGTGCGATAGTAACCCTTGTCCCATGAACCTCTATATGGTATATGAACCTTAAACCCTTTTCGGGCCCATTTCGTCAAAAGGACAATAACAATAATAGCAATAACAATAATAACCATACTACTACTAGGAGTTTGTACCCTCGGCACGGGAACCCGTCTTCCCGTTGTTTGAAGTCGTGCTTGGCACGGCATCGCAGTTCTGCCTGGGGCGAAGAAGATATAGGGTTGGCTGTTGAGCACAAAATCTAAACACTGGCTTTGAAGCACTTGCTAGCCGGTAACTGGGTCCCCAAAGGCCCTCTTGGATGTAGGTGAGCGATTCAGCTACCCCAAAATTCAAGACCCTACACAGCCCTAAACTCTAAGGCCGTCAATCCCCGAAGCCCTCAGCCAAAACCTCGTACCCTTCAACGTTGATCCCTGAACCCCAACGTTTACATTCAAAACAGCACTGTCCTCGAAGTGCTTGACCTTGTGAAGTTCAGGCTTTCCACTGTTTAGGGTTACAGGGTTTAGGGCTCTGTGTAGGGTTCATAAATAACCATGAACCACAAGCCCAGACCCTACCTATAGTAACCTATAGTGCTCTTTCCTGGTTTATATAACCAACTTAATACGATAGGATCCTAGCCGTGAAATAGGATAACCAAGAAAAGGACCTACATTGGAGACTGTAGGGTATAGGGTACAGGAAAGTAGGTACCCTAACAAAAGGTGAGGTATGAGACCAGAGGTAGAATCATTAACCTGAAACCCTAAACCCTAACCCCAAGGCCCAAAGCCTTTAACAGGAACCCTCAAAATGAGACTAAAGGTTGAATCATGAAAGGCGCGATTGCTGTTTCTGCCTCTACCAGGTCCGGGTCTTCTCTATCGCTGGGTGAAGCGCGCGCCGCGGCCGCATTCTGGTTTGCTGGGTTCCTTTTCAGGAACTTGTTGAAGCGAGCATAATGGGGCTCTATAGTATTCTTCCAGGGGTTCTACAGCGGTGTTTAAGGTTTACTTGATGTAGGGTTGTACGTTTAGGGTTTAGGGCAGAAGTATTGAGATCTTAAACGTACCAGCACCTACTCTTCCCTAGGTCCCCGAAAACTTTCTGCTTTTGCTGTGGCTAAAGCAGCCTAAACCCAAGGCTCAAGAGGCCAACAGCTTGACCGAGCATGGCCTTCGCGCTTTAAGTTTCAAAAGCCTTTAAATACTGCTGATGGACAGAATCCTGCATGACCCTAAGGACTCTAAACTATGGGAACTATGGTATATTCCTTATAAAGGGTAATGCAGGGTTTTGTCCATCAACAGTACTGGTCTTCACGGCCTTTGCATTTAGGGTTTAGATCGATGTTTAGGCTCTCTGTCTCCTGCATTCGATTTCTACAGCTTTGCCCGAAACTGCTCCAAGCTCATAGCCAGCCTTGTCTTGAACTCTTTAGCTTCCACACCCTGAGCCATGCACTCGAACTTCTAAGCCAAAAAGCCCGTAATGTAAGCCCCTGACCTTGAACCAGAATACCTGAAGAGCCTAGATCCTCAAGATTCAAGATTATACTATAATGGCATGAGCTGCAAACGGTAAGGCCGAAAACAGACCCTAAACCCCTGCAGAGATTGATGAAAAGGAGCTTAAACAACACAAGCCCTCTAACTTGACGTCGACAGGCTGCCGCACGGGCGGTTGTCGGCGCCTTCGCTCTGTCCCTGGCTGTGGAAACAGCGGCAGAGTTCCAGCCGGTGGAGAATGGCTCCTCGACAGACCCAAAGCCCTAATCCGCTGTATACAAGCTCTTGCACATCGTACGCCTTAATGCTTTTATAGGCCGGCATAAGTCGCAAGCCGTAATTTCTTGAAGCCATCTGTCAGCCAACGTAAATCCTGCAGCTGAAACACTAAGTCACCTCAACCACCCTTTGGACGCTCCTTCCTTCACAGCCTGCGATTGTCTTTACATGTACTTTGCAGGTACATGCAGCAGAATAATATAGGGGCTTTGAAACTTACCTATACTATTTTGGGGTAATGTTGGTGTAATATATCCCCCCAAACCCTGTTCTAAATACTCAGGCATGTTCAATCCCTGCCTTGATTAAGCCTTGCCCCTTTCCTGGGGGTTTTCGGGTTCAGGGAATTAGTGGCTTAGGGTTGAAGGACGTCTGATTTCTAGGAGCTCTCCGGCGGAACGGAGGGGGTTGGTGCCTTTAGAGGTGGGCATTGCGGTGGGGCTGCAGGCCCTAGTGGCCATAGTGCAGTCCTTAGGTTTCCCCTTTTGATTCGGGTTTTCTTGACGGTGCATGAATGTTAAATGCAAAAAAAGGTACTTCTTTCTGTTTCTGCAGAACTAATTGTCATTGTTGGCGAACCCGGAGTATTTTGCCCACTGGAACTCGATAACTCGTGAGGGGGTTTTGCTTCCAGGGCCTTCAGCGTGCATTGTCCAGGTCCGGCTTGGGGTCAAGTGGCAGTTACTGTTTCAGAAAAAAGCATGTTTTGTCGGTTTCTATGGGGCCCTAAAGAGGTTTCTGCAGAGGTTCTTATCCGGATCACTGCAATGGTTCTGCTTCAGGGGTTTAGCTATGTTGCAGGTCCCCTCTCCTTCAAACTCGTGGCTCCGACATTCGGAAAGCCTCCGTCACCAAGGGTTCTGAAACCCTAAACCCCATTTACCAGAAACCCTAAAGCCTAAACCCCAAGCCTCAACCTTCAAGGGCCGAAATACCGATTTATGAATCCTGCAATCTCTGAGCTCTATATCTTCAGTTCCTACACACTAAGCATAGTCACTGAAGCCCCCAAACCCCTGCGTCCACAACCTATTTGAGCCCGAATTCCTGAAATCCCGAAGCGCTGCAGTTCAGCATCGGTGGAGCCCTCTGAGAGGTTCCATCTTGCTCTCCATCAACAGCTTGCTGCATTGGCTGCTGATACTGACCGAGCCGGGGCCCCATCAATGCACGCGAAGATGGCGGCGTTGACTATACAGAGTACATGAGTCATCAAGTTTTTACAGATTCACATCTGGTCAATTTGTATGTAGTATTTACATAAACTGGAACTTTTAGTAGGGTTTAGGACCTAGTTTTAGTTTTTGTGCTTGGGTTGTACTTAGACCGCTCTAGATTGCTAGTACGACCAAACCCCGCTAAGGCAGCATACCTTCAAAAGCAAACTCTGATATAGAGCCTGCTCGCCGACGACCGGCCCCAATCTGTTCTGTGTTCGAGATGCCAAGGCGACTTATGCATAGCACGTTACATGCATATCCCTGCTATTGGGCTGAGTTCTATGGGGATTTATGTGGAATGTCCTCATCTTCATATTTACATATGTGTTTTGGGTCCCCTATGTGCGTGGGCTTCAAGGGCTTTGCACTTGGTCTTCGGGGAAGCAGCACTGGGACCTTGCAGTCAATTTTGAACCTCCCGTATGTGTTTTATCTCATGAATAGCATGTTCCCTGTAATCAACCCCTAAACGCTGGCTGTAACTATCCTCAAACCCAAAGCCATGGAGCCCTGGCCTTAAACAAACACCCCATAGCTCCAGAAGCCCCAACCAGAGAAACTGTAGCAGCGCTACAGACTTGAACCCATAAAGCCGCGAACCTCAAGAACCCATACCAAATTCAGGAACCATCTGACATCATGTAGAGTGTAGTTGGTCATGCAGTGCGAATGAAGGAACACTGGGCTCTGTGGGTGAAGCATGAGTTCCTTAGCTTTGTCAGTGGATCCGCGCACCCCCCCCCCCCCCCCCCCCCCCCCCCCCATGGTAATCCCCCTCCCCCCCCCTGTGGTTCCTGTGGTTCCCCCCCCCCCTGTGGTTCCTCTTGGTTTTCCCCCTCCCTTTTGTGGTTCTTCTGGTTCCTGTCTCCCCCCTCCCCCCCTGTGGTTCCTGTGGTTCCTCCGCGTGGTTGCTGCTGCTTTGTTGTTGCTGCTGTTCTTCTTCTTGTTCTTGTTCTTGTTCTTGTTGTGTGGTCGCCCGGGTCGGGGGGGGGGGATACCATTGGGGGGGGGGGGGGGGTCGAGAACGCGGAGCGCGGGCACATATAGACCCTCGAACAGAGCCCGCCAAGAAAGTTCCTATGCCACGTTTTGCCCTTCATCCCAGATGCCTAGGCTTCTGAGCATTTCTGAGCCCTCCAACTTCCTCGGTCCCTAAACTCGAAAGCACCCCAGCCTCGCTTCACATTGTAGCTGCTGCTGCATACAGAAGTTCTTGCAGAATTCCGGCGACTACTTGATATGGATGGGACGAGGATCTTTTCTACTTCGGACTTGATTATTACCCATAGCCTAGACCCGAATAAGCCTCGGATTTGATTAGGCCCCTATACTTGGAGGTTCATAGGTAGTTGTAAATGGGGTTATAAGTCCCCATAATATAGGGTATAAGTCTAGTTACCCTACTTGTAACCCGACTTATACCTACCCATGAACCTCCAAGTAGTCCTAGACCTTACGCCCTACAGGATACGCGCCTTCCGGGCCACGGGTCGAAGGCCGGCGGCTTTTAAATTCAGGGCCTTTGGGGTTGTCCCAAAGGGCCCAAGTAATGGTATCCCTAAGGGTCCATGTACCCAAATAGTATATACTTTCGGCCCAGTGTATGTATATACTATTTGGGTACATGGACCCTGAGGGTATAGTATATATAAACTTTGGGGGCCCAGATGGGAGTTTCCGAAAATACGGGACCCTAATACAGTACCCTAATCAGTAGCACCCTTATTGTAAGGACCCAAGAGAAATTTTCGGAAACTCCCAGATACCTACCATAATAATCATGGTACTTGGACCCTGTGGGTATGTCCTGCAACACATCGGTTGTGGTTCGGGTAAAGGTTCTGCAGGGGCTTGGGCGCTGTGGGTATCTATCTCTCGCAATAAAGACAAAACAGACCAGTCAACGTAGGGTCGTTCACGGATCCTTATTACAGGACTATAGATGACCTGTCTATAGGGCCCCGTCTGTTTCCCGAGAATCAGTCCATCGTGCGAGGGCTCCATTCTTGTGTTTTGACAGTGAGGCTCTAAACCCTAAACCCTAAACCCTAAACCCTAAAAAAAAAAAAACCCTAAACGTTGCATGTTTGCGTATGGAGAGGTCCTGGTGCTCGGGGTTTGAGGTTGTGAGTGGAGAGACGAAGCTTCAAACCCGCAAATTTACTTGTCGTTGCATACTACACGGCCCGAAGCTCTACATCCCGTTTAAGACCCCGAAACACTAAGAGTCACTACTTGCTTCATTTCTTTGCCCGACCACTGCGCAGTATGGCCTTGTGGGGCCCTGCTTATAAAGTCCTTGGAACCATCCTTTAAGCAGCATGGGAGGTTAGGCAACTATGGCCTTCACATTTTTTGCAAAGAGTTCGAAAGGTAGTCATATATGTTTCGGGTTTAGGTGTTCATGCTGTGGAAACTAGGGCTGCAGCTCCTTCAAGCTAGGGTTATGCCCAAATGTTTTGTTGTTCAATCCTCGGTTTCCGTTCTTGTTCGCCGCCAGCTATAGCCCCGCGAACTTCCAGTTCTGGGTGCACCCTAAACTCTGCAAGCCCATCTACGCCCTAATCCCTGAACCCTGTCTACAGGATCCTTCCGATCATGAAGTCAGTCACGCCCATCGCTGGGATGTTGCTGATCATGCCACCGAGCTGAGAAGTTTTGGATGTTTGGGTGCAGTTTAATTGTTGTCTAGGACAATGAGGTTCAGGGTTCCTTCAGCCACAGTAGGCCTTTGGTATATGTTGTTTTCATGTTCCCCTGGTTGGGCTTAAGAGGGTCTTACTTGCGAGAATCTTCAGAGAGTTTATAGGGCCAGCCTAGTTGGGGTAATGGGGAACCAACGGGTTCATCAACAGGGGCTTCCGGATGAGGGTCGAGGGCTTCCTTACGGGTACTGAGAAATATGTTTGTGTTTGATTGTTGTTATCCCTAAGAAACAGCTGAGTTTATCGTTTTTGCAAGCTTACCAAGTTCAGTAGAGCTTCGGGTTTGTTGATTACCTATGAGTCTGTGCTCGGGACGGTGCAAGGTTGTTGCCGATATCTAAACCCGAGCCCCTAAATATGCATGTATTGCTTGGACTCCTGCACAATAGAGAACCCGAGATCTGACTCGCAAGTCTCCCGATCTGGGAAGAGCATCTCTGCCTAGGTGTTCGATCACCTTAGCCTTCCTCCACGCTTTTTGGGCCATGGACCGCGCCGACATAAATGCTCCTCGGCAGAACGTCTTGCAGCACAATAGCTTTGGGCCTAATGCTTGGACTCGATAGTACAGGGCTCGTCAAAAATGGTAGGGAATACTCAGTCCTACTCTAGTCGCGGCAGAACATTCCCCCCAAGCCCGTGAGCAATTTTGTGATTTCTGGGCCGTGCACCCATCCAGCAACCCTTATACCTGCATCGAACCCTTCGAAGCCCTCATAAACCCTTATATTACAGATCCGAAAAAACCCTAAACCCCGAACCTCAAAACAATACATACCAATCCCTGAAACCCGCAGCCCTGGCAGGAAATCTCAATGTTTAACATCGTCGTGCTGCTCTTTACCGGAGAGCAGTTCCTTAGTGGCGATGATTTGGCGCTGCCACTTGGCTGACTCCATTTGTGTTGCATTTGCGTCGTTGAAGAAAAGACAGGGAGTCGAGTAAACATCGTTGTTGGACAACCTAATATAGGGGCCTTAATAAATACAATAGGGTTTTGGGTATCTTATACCATGATAAGGATAATCAGAAACCGCAAATAGCATTGGCAATCATGAAGGCGCCTATAGTCAGGTGGCTGATGAGTCAACTTCCTTGTAGGACAGGCAGAGGTGGCGAAATACGTTAGCTAGCTCCGTCACATGTCAACCGTGCGAAATCCTGGAAGTTCTTCAACTTCAGCATGGCCTGCAAGGGGCGAGGACATGTACTCGAACGCCTGGACCCCAAGAGTATGTAGAATAGTTGCCCTTCATAGGTTGGGGCCGTCATTTTACTTACTTTTGGGGGTTTCGCCAGTCTTGATTTACGAGAACTTGCGATCTGGCTGGTTCTGATGTAGATCCAGAGCAGACAAGCCGAGACGAGCCTAGAACAGAGTTGAACATGCCCGCTGGAATTATTAGAATCTGTGCCAAACAAGGGCGGCCATACACGATTGATTCGCTTAGTGGCCTCACCACATTTTTTGAGCAAGCGAGACCCGAATCTGGAATCTTGATAGTCTTGTCTTCTATCCTGAGTATATAATAGTGCATAAGCCGTAAGCCCAGTACCAAGACAGAGTGTCACAGCATGTCACAGCCGTACGAACCACATTGGAGCCAGAGTTTGCGTCGCCTAGGATGCCGGATCGGCAGAGGATCACGATCATCCTCCTTTCGATAGGCCGCGCTGTGTGGATGGATGTCTCAGGGCAAAAGTTTCGTTACTAAGGGGATGTTGAAAGTGGAGGCACTGATGTACCTGGCATATACATGTAAGATCATGCAGCGATCAGGAGCCCCGTACATATGTAACATAGGGACATCCAAGATAGTACTAAATTCCGATGTGAACCGTTTCTAAACGCGAAACCGCCCTCCTCCCAACAAATGCCGACCATGCATTTTGGAAGCTAAGGGGGAACCTGAGGAAGGATCTGCGGTTCGGGAGTTGGGGCTTCTGAGGGCGAAGTATTGACTGAGAAGGCATTGGTGAGAATCGCTTGGATGCTTCAAAGACGAAAGCGCATTGTCACATGATGGACTCGTGAGATAGTCCTGACTAGCCTGGAACACTCAGCCTCAGTCCTGTACCTTAGCCATCGAAGGCAGGTTGCTAAGCCGCCTGGCTGACTTGTTGCATTATCACTGTCTTGGCTTTGTGGTAACAGATGTATATCACATGCTAGTCTGCTAGTCGACGAGAAGCATATAGCACAAGCATTGGCTGCGCGTCTTTGAGGTGGAGTGTTCATCTTCCTGACGTGCACCATCAACGTCTTTATTGCCGTGCTTTGTGAGTGTCTTGGCCCGCAAAGGCTAAAGTCACGATTATAAGCCCCAAGCCCAAGAGCCTTGGTTTGTGTCCTGGGCACGCTGCCTAGGCTACCGTCTGCCTGGCCGAGGCAGCAATCCTCGTAGGGAGTACATGCAACATGTAGTACGCAGACAGGTATGGGTTTAGGGGTTAGGGTGTGACTTGCTGATCTTGTTGTAAAAGCAATAGAAGCAACCATCGCGACAATCATACCCCACAAATCCTATTTATCCCTTTATCCTACAGTCCTACTGCTTGATGCATCTTCTCTGCTGACCTCAGCAGGCTCCACCCTCCACCCTCAACCCGGGGTCTACAGGACTTCAAGGTTCAGACTGGTATAGTAGTATTGTAAAACTAGTATCACTATAATAATACTACTGCAATACTGTAATAGAAATAGTCATACCAATTCTAGTACTTCTACTGAACAGTTTCAGGCCTGGCTCGCCCAGATGCAGGAACTCATGAGCTCGAAGTCCACAGTGCAATCCGGGATCACCACCTCCTGCTGCTCCGGTCCTTAGTGCAGGAGAGAATCAGACGTGCAGTTCAGTGATCCGGCTACTCTTCGGACAAGAGTCCTAAGCCTCTTGACCAGTAAACCTTAAGTACGTAACCTTACCTGTGACCAACTAGAGGGTTATAACCCTTAAAGCGGTAGGTTTATGGATCCCATGGTATAACTTACAGCTTCCGGAGACTCATTACGGTTTCCTTAGATAGGTCCTTGGAAAGGTAGGCTTTTGAGGGTCCGATGTCTACCTTACAGCTTCCAATCGAGAATCCTGGAGTCTGGAAGCTCCCCAGGTGCTACGACCAGGAGCAAGAGCGCATGGCACCTGCCCTCAGACGATTGCGGTTTGGGGTCTTAGGGTTGGTGGGGAGGGTTCGGGGAGCTCATAGGCAATGGGCTTCGGAGTAGGGCTGGGAGGATTTGACCTGCAGGATTTGGGGTTTGGGGGTGTAGTGTCGAAGAGGGGAGTGCTTGAAGCTGTGTGGTGTTCGATTCCCGAGCCTGCGGTTTGGTTGGGATTTGTTGCAGGGTTCGGGGGCCAAGGAGTTCCGAATCATGACCGAGCCCTTATGATAAGGACAACGCAATCAGCAGCGCTGAGTACAACCACAGACACACAAGCGCAATACTGCGAACCATGCAAAAATAATCTAGCAATAATGACGATGAGGCCATGATGATGATGATGTTGTTGTTGTTGATGTTTTATATGTGGAGACTGTGTGTGCCGAGCGCGCCCGAAGACGAAAAATAAGATTTCTGAGCAGAGGGTGATGCCGTTACACCTGTACCATTCATGTTAAACCTTGCGCCCTGAGCTGTAGAACAGCAGCCCTGAAGCCTAGACTCTGTATCAGGCTTCACCAAATATTAAAGGAACTCAAGCGCAAGAGCTTCGAATCCCTCGCCATTGGTGCACCGTCCAAGGTCTGCACGTTCCTGAAAGAGCGCGCGAGAATCTGCAGTGGTCCCAGTCTGTGGTGTCGGAGAACGGGATGAATTTAGGATAGTAGTCGTCTGGTATGAACTCTGAAGTGTTTCAGAGTATGTAAGACTACATAGGAATGTTGTATCAGTTCAACAGCAAACGACGTTGGTACGACGACATATGCTTGAAGCGCCAGTATCTTGCCAAGATGTGTAAGATCTTGTGCAGCCATCAGAAACTGCTGTGCTGGAACCTGAGAGATGCAGCGTAGAGCATCGCAGCGTGCTACCAAGCTACCCCCTAAACCATAGACCCCAACTTCAGAACCCTAACAAACCCTAAACATCCTCAAACCGTAACTTCGATTTCCTACACCCTATAAACCCTCACAAACCCTAATGATCCACAAGACCAGGACGTCTTGTGTGCCGGAGCCTCCTCCAGTTGAGGGGTGCGAGAAAAGCTCCAAGCCCTGTGACATCCGGAGAGAATAGCCGTACTATAGGGGCCGAAATAATTACCAACACTTTCGTGGGGGTTCCTTATTATAACTATAGCATAATGAGGGACTACCTTCAGGGACGAGATTTTGGGGTTTAGGGGTTAAGCTGTAGCCACAAGAAAGCTACCTTTTCCACGGGTCCTGACTATGTTTTGAGTTAATCTCGCTCCTTAAAAAGGTTGGAGGTGTTGTAGGATCCAGGTACTAATTGCGAGAGCTGATGCACTGTGCAAGCCATAGACTTTAGGAGCTGCACCCTGAACTGCTTGAAATCGTGTAGTCATGGGGTGTCTGACTGCTACGCACCTTATTGCCGTGACCAAACCAACCCTAAACCCTACACCCTCATTTGAATGACCTCCAGTAGGAACGAATTGTAAGGCTGCAATTCTAGTATCATGCAGTGCACCTGAAACCTGCTCCAAGCGCAAGAATCTTGCATTGCTCGCCATGGTCAAGGGCATCTCTTATCCATTATAGTCTTACACCCCAGACTCTGTGCCCAAAGTAAGCCCAAAACCCTACAATCCTACATCCTCTACCCAAAAGTGGGCCCAAAATCCTCAAGGGGTGAGATCCCAAACCTTAAATCCGAAGCCCAATATCCTATACCCTAAGCCTTCAGCCCAACATCCGAAAGGGCTGAGATCCCAAGGCAGTGGCTACTTCCTGCGCCCGAAGATGAAAGCCACGGGCTTCAGCTTCCTCTCCCAGGCATCCTCCGACCCCCTTGAAAAGAAAGGCTTTAACCCTAAACTCCTTAAGCTTACCTGTGGCCAAAAACGCTACTCTTTATGGAGCCTTTTGTAGAAACCCTTACCAGGAGCGCTAAAAGGGGAGGTTTTTTCTGCAGGTAAAATTTGAAGCGGCGAAGCTCGCGAGCCTAAATCCTGACGGCAGGAGATACGGAAGCTCACGTGGTGGCGCTGGATCCTGCTTTTGGCATCTTGTCAGGTTACAGAAAGAGATCAACCAAGGCTCTCCTGAAAACAGCACTCTAAGGGTACTAGTAGGGAGTACTTTGAGGCCAAAGTATATACTATTTGGGGTACATGGACCCTTAGGCGCATAGCCCAAAAGCATAACATTATGCTGTGACATGTTTGAGGTCCTACGATTCAATTAGGATTGTAGTTCTTTTGTTTGTATGCTTTGCAGGACGTGGCTTGGCGTGGTTGAGTGTTCGGGTGTTGTACCTGGACCCCCAAAGTATATAGAATATTTGCCCTTTATAGGTTTTGGGCCTCTTTGTTACTTACTTTCGGGGGTTTAGGTAGGGCTCTAGGGTTAAAGTTTAGTGCATTGCGGCCATTGTGCCCAACCGTCAGCCCGTAACCCTGCAGCTCATGTAATCCCTGAAGCAACTAGCATTCAAGTGTCACAGCCTCCGCTTTCTTGGGTTCTTTGTGCGATATATTCTTAAACCAGGCAGTTTTTCGGAGAGGCCAGGCAATCTTGACAGAGGATCCGACATTCTACATGCTAGCCCCGAAGCCTAAGCCGGAAACCCTAAACCCTAAGACCTTAAATCCAAAACCCTCAAGCAGACACCTGAACCCACAGCTGCAGACGTGCGCCATGAGCCGAGGTAGTTGTCGTGGTTTTTTACGGCGTGACTCTCTTCCTTATCTCCGAGGCTTTGACGTTTTGGGCTGAAAGGTGTAGAGTTTAGGTTGTGTGGTTTAGGGGTTTAGGGTTCAGTTATTCAGCTTACAGAATTGAATAAAGTCAGCATTGTATCTCCTGTTTTGAGCAACGCTATCAGATCCAAGTTATAACTTTGGTAATGGAGACTTTAGGTAGGGCCTAGGCTGTCGGGTTTAAAGTAGATGCCGGAAAGTTGGAACATCATGATCCTCATGCCCTTAAAGTATGCGGAATCCTAGCACTGATCCTCCTAAGATCATTGATGTCCAGCTTTCACCCTCAAACCCCTAAGCCCTAAACCCTAAACTGCACACCCTAAACCCTGAACCCCTAAACTGTAAACCCCTAAACCCTATGTAAAGTGTATGGATTAGAGTTTTAAGGTTTGGGAAGGCTCAGGGTGCTCGGCCCGAGGGCTTTTGACTTCAGATTTCCCGTGTCACATCTCGCTGTTTTAGAGTTTAGGGTTTAGGGTTTAGGGTTTAGGGTTTTCATGCTGTCGGCGGGCTTTGGGGGACTTGGGAGGTGTAGAGTTTGACTACCTGAGCTCCTAAAATCAAGCTGTGTTTTCGAGTTGGGGGGGGTGATTCTGAGCTCCGGGTCCTGATTTAGGGTACAGGGTTTGGGATTGACTCTTCGGAAAGGGATTGTTGGGCGTAAGTGGCTCTACAGTGTTTCGTGAGGCATGGGCATATAGTGCTTTATAGGGTTCTAGGGTTCGGCAGTGGGAGGCCTGGAGAGTTCAGGATTTAGGCTGCGTGAGCTGGCTTCATTTTCGCATGGGTAGAACCCGGGTTGAAAGTTGTCCCCACGTCTCATGCCCTTGTGGCATCTGCCACGAACCCTAAAGGTCAGAAAGACCCAATAACTAGGTATTGGGGTTTATTTCAGCCCATAGAGGAAACTACCAGCCCCAAAGCCCAAAGTCGAGAAGCACAGTTTTGCTGAGCAGGCAGACATCGTCACAGCCTGGTTTGGCGAGAGCTGGCTGCAGCTAGGGGTACAGGCTTCGGTCAAGCATACTGACCCACGATTTCTTTATCTACAGATGTCCGACATAGGGTCACAAGGGTTCTAAAGGTGAGTCCCCTGGCGTTCTGGAGGGGACCGCTGCAAGAGTCTTGAACAGCTCTCTAGGCGAGGATGGCGATTGTACGGAAGTCTGATAGGTTACCAAACCTATTCCGTAGGGCTTCTTCTGATATCTTTACTATAGTAATATACCCATCGCCCTCATCTAAGTACCCTATAGAGTATACCCTTCGATTGATGTGCATTCCGAGCTCGAAATGCCCGAAGCCTTGCAACGCGCGGGGCTTGACGTCTTTTTGAGGCAAATGATGTCTCGCATGTATTGGTTCCTGCGTTTAGGATCATTTAGGGTTTCGGGTGCAGGGTTTGCTGCGACGCAAATGGATGACTCAGAGGATGTGTCCACCATCAACCCAGAGCCATCGTCCTTGGCTGCAGCCTTTGAGACAAAACCTCGAGCAAGGAAGGCCCTAGCCGGAGGCTTGGTCTTCACACCACCTGATCCTTACCTTTGGTTAGTAGGGAGTGGAAAAACGTTATTACAATTGTGCCCCATTCCTCCATTCCCTACTAACCAGAGGTAAGGCTCAGGTGCGACCTCGTGACTCGCCAGATGACCCGAGGAGCAGCGAGATTTGGCTCCCTTGACTGATGCAGCTTGCCCAGCGACCACCTGGTCCAGTTTCCCCGGCAGCTTCGTCTTCAAGCTCGACTGCTGCTCTGGAGACTGCAATGGAGCCAGAGTTGGCGATCCCTCTGGAAGACTTTGAGGGGCCAGCTTTGCACTTGTTCGGTTTAGGGTTTAGGTGCCTCCGGAGGCTGGACACATGCTGGCTTTGACGTACCAGCTTGCTCTCTTGCATGTCCCTGCGAACACCCTATAAAATCATGCAATGACGCCCGTTGAAAGACCTATCTGCCAAGGCCCTAAACCGTAGAGACTTGGGCTCATTTCTTGCAACGGTTGGCTCGGGACTGAGGCTTTCGGATTTCAAGCTTTGGGACACATAGGCTTCTAGCGTTTCAAGGTATCCTGAAATGCTAAACTCTGAACCCCGAAACCCTAAATCCTATCTGCGCAAGCCGAGGCTGTATATCCATCCCTGTCGGCAGTGGCCTGAGCCGGAGGGAAGGCAAAGATTCAGATTAATTACCCAAAACGTCATCAATGCCTATACCGATACCCTTCTGTTAGAGTTATCCATGAACTTTATAAGCCCTTGAACCGTAGGCTGCAGTTTCGAGATCCGGGTTTCAGGGACGTCTCAAGGCTTTGAGATTTCCGTAGGGGGGGGGCATATAGAACCCTACTATAGATCCCTGATAGACCCCTTTTGAGGAACCCTTTAAAGAACCCCTGTGGGTCCTAAACTGTAAGCCCTTAGACCTGAAGGGGGGGGGACGGTGGGGGCGGTTTGGGTTGACGACTCGGGCTTCGTACTAGACATGCTCATAAATGGTTTCCTGGGATCCCAAACAGTTTGTTTTGGGTTTTCCTCATACTTTAAGGTGTCATAATAAGCGGAAAAATCGGCTTTGCCCTGGAATTATGAGGTCTTTGCAGGGTTTGACGCTACTGGTTGGGGTTTAGGGTACAATGGGCAATGGTCAATGGACGCACTGTCAGCATTGTGGGGCGTTTATCAGTGTCGGTTCCGGATTCCCGCAGCCATTGCATGGAGCCAAAACATAGCCTAAGGGCCCATGTGCCCAAATGGTATATACTTCGGGCCCAATGTACCTATATATGGAATACTTCAGTTAAGGCCAAAATATAGACGATAGCTAAATAAGTTCACTTTCAAGACCGCACAAGAATTCCTGAAGGCAGGCCCGACTCAGAACCATCCGATGCGTTTCTACTTATCCCTGACTGTGCCATGGGGTTCACACGTAAGGCCGCGTGAAAGCCTGGGTGGTTCGGGTTTGCTGCGGGCATAAATTTTGGGTTTCAGCCTGAACAACATGGGCGGTTGTTAAAATCATGGTCCTTTTTGGCGTCCCTATTATAATATGGCACCTAATATTTGTGGTACCCAAAAAGGGACCCTTTTTGACAACTACCCACATGGTCCTATCTCTGATTCCTCATGAACCCTGGGCCCTAAGCCCTCAACGTTGCAACTTCCTATCTCCCTGTCGCAGAACCCTGAATCCCATAAACTATCCCAAAACCTGAGGCTCAAAAATAGCCCAAAAGCTTTAGATAGTATGCTCTTTTGGGCCCAAAGGCCCTAAAATGTGAGCCCTTAGAGCCTTTTGGAAAACCTACCAAAGCTCCAGGAAAGCCCAACCCGAACTCTACAACGCCCTACAGGCCGCAAGACCCCAAAAGCCCAAGCCAAAACAAGCAAATAGGGGTATAGGGTTTAGGGCAAATTTTGGGTGCAAGTCCGTGCTTAAAAAGGGTCAATGTTGGGTAACATTTTACATCTTTATGGGTGCTTGAACTCGACAAGGAGTTGAAACCTAGAATTCCATTACCATCCGGACCATGAACCAGAAAGGTCCTTTGCGTGCAAAGCATCTTTCGGGATTGCGCCACGACGAACTGGAAGAAGAGCTACCTCTGGCTTTGCCGGGGCCCAAAAGGGTTTAGGGTTTAGGGTCTGGGGTTAAGTGCTTAGGGTGTGGGGATAATGGGAGTTTCCGAACATAGGGCACCCCAATACAGTACCGTAAATAGTAGGATCCTTATTGGAAGGACCCCAAAACAAGGTCTCGCTAATTTTCGCAAACTCCCGAAGGAGGTATAGGTTTAGGGTTAGGGTTTAGTGTTTTCGGTTCAGGACTTAGGAATTTACTGAATAAGGTCGAGGGCTTAGGGTCCAGCAGTGAGATTTAGGGTTCTGGATTTAAGGTTTCGTGGCCTTTCGACCTTTCTTCCGAGAGCCAGACCAGAAACACCAAAGCCGAGTAACAAACCCGTGGACCCCAAACCTGAACTTTCATGCTACGACCATAGAGGGTCATACCCGGTCATACCCTGCCAGTGTTTTAAACAGGGTACCCAGTTACCTAGTACAATGAGTTTAATGGTCCATTTGGATGTTTTATACAGAAAGATAGGTACTCTATATAAGAAAGGGCCAGGGTATGACCCTTTCGGAAGCCCTGAACCTACACTTGGGTGGTTGTCAAAATTATGGTCCCTTTTTTGGCCCTTAATATAATACGGCACCTATTATTTGTGGTACCCCAAAAGAGACCCTAATTTTGACAACCACCCACTTGTTCGTGACATCGCCCGGAGCAGGCCATGAAAAGTCGATCGACGAGGCACGCCGGCTGAAACTTCAATGTTTGCGGACTCGGGCTCCTGTAAGAGAGCTTCGAAAATAGAGGACCCTAGTATAGTACCCTAAATAATAGGATCCTTCTTATAAGGACCCCCCCAAAAAGGTACCCCTAATTTTCGGAAACATAATAAGGGTTCTGTCAAGACGTTCAAGAGTTCCTGTTCCGGAACTGCTTGAAAGGGTGCATTTAAGGCTTCTTCTTGGGGTCAAGGACACCAAACCCTTAGGGTCCAAGTACCTAAGAATCATAAACTCCCCCAAATTGTAACCTACATAGCTACTATCCGAAAGCCAAGTGCCTTGTTATTGGGTCCTTTGGACCCTTACTTGGAGGTCCATGGGTAGTTATCAGTGAAGTTATATCCCGTAATATGGGTTATGGGTATAGTTACCCTGCGTATAACCCTACTTATAACTACCCATGAACCTCCAAGTAGGGAACCCTAAACGCAGGCGTTGAGGTCATAGGTTTTGCCTACGGGGTTTGACTTGCGAGTCGAGTTTAGGGGCTTAGAGTCTATAAGATTTACTTAGTAGCTGAGTGGATACACTTTACACTTTTGGGGATAAAATTCCCCACTATAACACTGAAAGTGTGCACTTTCTGGGGGGGCTTGTGAACTCAGCAACTACGTTTACCAGGTTTAGGTTTAGGGTTTGGGGTCAACATATTGCATGTCCTACAAGTGTTCAATAAGTTCAATAATCTTAGACGGGCGGCAGCCAGTGATTGTGTGTATACAATATGACTGAACTCTATCCATCTATGAAACTCCCACGAGACCCCCCCCCCCCCCCCGCCCCCCTGCTCTTTGACGGAGCCCTTATGATCCTTCGTGGGTATTTCCAGTTTTTCATAGATGGTCGTTGAGGGGGTAGGGGAGTCTAGGTCTCTCTCTCCCTCTCTTTCTCTCCCTCTCTCTCTCGCTCTCTCTCGATGTACATATACATATACATATAAATACTCATATATTTGACATATTTGTATACACATACACGTACTCGTATATGTGTGCATATACATGTACAGATACAGGTGCAAGTCTAACTACATATACATGTACATGCACACATACACATGCAACTACATACAAGTACAAAGACGAACACAACCACGAATACATATGCATGCCTATGTACATGTGTATGTGTATATGTGTGTTTATTTGCTTGTTTATTCCATGTTTCTTTACACATGCATATCTGCTCATACACGCCTACACACACACACACACGTATGTGTATATATATATATATATATATACATAAGTTTCTTTATATATGTATATATATATACATATGTATATGTATATGTATATATGTGTGTGTATATATATATATATATGTATATGCATATTGCACTATACAGGCATAAGTACATGCATACGTGCATGCAGGCATGCATCCATAAGTTGCTTTTTACATTACGTCTAGTACATTACACTAAGTTTCAGTTTGGGTTGAGCTCGCTTCAGCACATTCAACACATCTCATTACGTTACGTTACATGAACACATACATGCATACATGCATACACACTTACATACTTACGCACACAAGACATACGGCATGTGCGAACTGTTACTGTTGCACAAGTACGATTAGGTTTGGTGTGCACGAAAGCCGCACATGCGTGTACTTTGCTGGGACTTGCCGAACTGTCAGTACAATGCTTTTCGGTTCAACCAGGATTTTTTTTTGTGGCATCCTTATCCTGCCGCGGCGTCGTTAGGATCCACGGGGACGCAGCCAACAAAGGCTAACCGCCCAAAGCCCCACGGTGGCAGCACATCTTGAGCGAGGGCAACACAGGCGGCAGCCGTAGAGCCTTAACAAGAAGCGTTGTCCCGTGCGATTATACCATGCATGTGCACACCATGGCATGCCCGAAACCACTTTTCACCTCCTCCGTCCATTCTTTGGATGGGCAATACGCAGTGTAGCTGGGATCTCGAAACATCGCACGTGTAGCCTCGACCTGTAGCCTCGACCGTACCGTGCTCATGAATACCGTCTGTCACAGCTTGCTTCGAGAATCAGTAAGTCTTGCTGTTGTTGCAAACAGGAACACAATTGTATGTTGGCGACGCCTCAGATGCCCTACGTTGGAGACTTTCCAACCTTCGTCGGCGCTTTGGGCAGGTCTTCGGTCAGGTCTCAAGTGTGACACTCTCCCTGAGCTGCATTGGTCCAAATCATGGCCACGCACCCGCCAACCTTAACTTAGTCCTGCTGCAGCCGACCACCATCTGCACACAAACACCAACTCGAGGCGGTCTAAGCAAACGGATGCAACAAAAGCTGGTGCTTTTGCAGCGGTCCCGCTCCGCATACGTCAAGTTCTCATCTGGTCGTTGTATGTGCACATCCTAGGTAGTGCGTTTGCCACGTTGATCTCTTTCCTCCCCGATTATGTCTGCAGGAAACCTTCTTGGCTCCAGAGCAGCGCGACGACGAGGACCAGTTTGCCAGCGATTGGTTTCATAAGCTTGTGCAGGATTTGCTGATGGATGTTACGTTCGGAGGATCGTTTGAAGAAGAGACTATACTACCCAATCTGAGTCAACATGGACACGGTGTGTACAGCTTTGCATACACTTACGAATGCGCTGCGTGCTCAGCAGTGCAGTGTGTTGTGTCCAACGGAGTGCGAGGTCTGCGAAATAGCTTTTGCACTAAAGGTTAATCTTTGTTTGTAGCAGGGAGCAAGCGGATGTAAGTAGATGGAGGGAGGACCACACCTGCTTAAAGTTTCTAGGTAGTGGTTGTTTTGAGTTCAATAACCATAGCCTCCATAGTAGCTCCTTTTTGGGATTACCCTCTAGGATTCTGAATATGAGCCACATCATACCACAAGGAACGACTATGGAGCCTGCAGGTGCGGGCTTGGCGGCACGGGCATCAAACATGGTGGCCGCCTCACTAGCACCCTGCCAACACGTGGCTTCAGTTCCATGCGACCCATCGCAAGTTTGGGTATTTCCGTGTTCGTGCAGTTGTGAGAACCGCGGTAGACCGTGCAAGCCAGGATGTCTCTGACACCCCCAATGTTTAAAGCTGTTTGAAACTCACCTGCAATTCCCGAGACCACCACCACGTCTGAACGTCAAACAGTCGCTGGCAATTGTTGGCAGGATCATTCTGGCAGGCTGACACAAGTCAAAAAGCCACTTGACTCTGCAGCGCGAGGTTAATTTCTAGGACTCTAGGCTTCAGGATTCTGTGGTCGGAAGTTCTGAGAACAGAGCTGCATCGGTTAAGTCGGTTCAACAGTCGACAGCCCAAGGCTCTTTTCGTTGAGGTTTTGCATGGGGGCTCTGATTTTTTGTTGTATTTCAGTACGAAAGCAGGTTTCTCCAGGGATTTCGGCTGCAAGTTCCGAGAACTTCCTATGTCAAGCCGGCGTAGGCTCAGAGGCCGATACGGGTTTTGTTTGAGTTGTCCGAAACAGCATGAATGAACAATCTTTCTACTTGTATCTATATCTATGTCAGTGTTTGCCATTAAACCTCCATCTACAACTATGACTATATCTATGCCTATATGTCCATATCTATATGTAGGTTTATGTCCATGTTTACATGGTTCCTTTATCTATCGATCCATCTATCTATCTGTCGACCTGACTGTTTAACTATCTATCTACCTATCTGTCTTCCTACCTGCGTACGTACTTAGGTATCTATCTACTGATCTATGCATCTATCTGTGCATCTACCTATCTGTCTATCGACCTACCTATCTATCTATCTAACTATCTATCTATCTACAGGTCTTGAATCCTGCATAAGATGCACGTCCTGTTTCCCCTCTGATAATTCAGTCAGTTTCGAGCATTGAACCGACCCCATCTAGACCCTTTAGTGACTTTAGTGCAGCCCGACTACTCTGGATGAGTAGTTGTTCGTTTGTTGTGTTTTGTTGGAAAGGCGGAGGGTCCTGGTGAATCCTAAATCCTTAGCACAATCCTTGGCACCCCTAAACTACATCATGCACATCTCTTTACATTTCTTTTCTCATGGTTCTTCGATGTAACTACTGACAGTTATTATTTGCTTGAACAATAAGGCTCTTTCTTAAATCTTCACCCTCCGTTTGAGTGCATATGCACACCTCGAGTCGTCTCCAAGGTTCATCCGTGAGCGGCCGGGCCCCCACAGCCGGAGTGCATGTTTCGTTTTTTGTTTTTTGAGGGGGGGGGAGGGTGGGTGGGGGGGGTTAGGGTTTAAAGGTTCGTGTTCGGGGCTTAGACTACGTAGGGTTTAGGGTTCCGGCTCAAGGTGCAGGCCTGGGGCTTAGGGACGAGGGTTTGGGCATTGGGTTTAGGCTCGGGTTTATCATAGCCGTAGGAGCAGGGCTCAAAGACTTCTTGCATCCAGAGTATTTAGAACTTGCGACTTGAAGGTTGCGTATGAAGGCTTCTTCCAGGCTTCGGAATGCCTTGCGCAGTTCGGCCTGCTCCCCGCATAGTTTCCTGCTTCAAGCTTCAAGTCTGCACTCTGACATCCTCTTCGGCCAACACTTGTCCAGCTTGGACAGAACACTCTCATGCGAAAGCCCAGACAATTCCAGTGCCTGCATGGCTCCCGTCTCGATGCTGTGCAGCCCCCGCACACGAAAAATCCTGGTTCAAACTATCTTTAGCCTGAGTTGCAAATTAAACACATCACTCTCATCGCCCACAAAGAACTGCGCAGCTCAACATGGCTCCCGGAACCACCAGCTTTTCGCCGTGCCGGTTCCGAGGATGAAAGCCACCATGCAGAAGGTGCAGGCAGCCCTTCGCTGGTTTGTGGATTGGGGTTTACAGTAGAAGCCCAAAAGTTGGAAACCCAATAGCCTCAATCCTGAAGAGTCATGTATAGGGCGCAAAAAAATTCCAGCATGCCTTCCTTATTACGGTTTCCAACTTTTTGGGTTTTACTGTAGGATATGAGGTATGTAGGCTGCGAATTTCCTGCCTGCATAGGACTGGGTGTTTCGTGTTGTTTACTGTAGGGCGAACCAAAAGTGTTGGCCTAAAAGATCTGCATTTTGATTCTAAGGTCCAAGGGCTTATCGATTGTTAAGCATGGTGAGTGAATGGTCTACATGGCTTTCTAAAGGCAGCGCGATGTTCATGAACAGGCACGTGCTCGATATCGGAGATCCAGAAACCGGAAACCCCAGCGTACAAGAGTAAGGGCTTATATAGGTGTTGGGGTTCAGGTTCCGGGGTATAATGCAGAGGCCTTAATAAATACCTATACTTTTTTTGGGGGGTTCCTTTTCTATAATTGTACTCCTGGCAAACTTCCAGTCGTGAGAACCCAAGAAATTTGCATACCCTGCCTAGAGGCTCATACTCTACTTACTCTCTATATAACAGATCCTAACTAAATACCTAACTAGATACCCTACTTACTTTCTATATACCAGATCCTAACTAAATACCCTACTTACTTTCTATATTGCAGATCCTAACTAGAGAACTAGGTCCCTGGAGAAAGGGGGTAGGGTATGAGTCGGTATGAGCCTGTACTGTAGGGAAAGCTCTGAACCCTAACCCTAAAGTGTCAGAAGGTGAGAATCGGCTGTAGATTCAATGTAGATTGCTGAAGCACCCAAGTTTGAATCGCTGAACCGCCGCCACCCTGCCGTGCGTGCCAGTACCTGCAAATGTCCGTGAACGGGGTGAAGAAAGAGATGGTGTGCCGGCATGATTGGTTACAGAGCACACCTGTTTCGGTGACTTAGAACCTACGTACGGCTGCGATAAGGGTACTGTTCTTGTGGGCTTGTGGCTTTGGTGAGCTTGAGGGATCGGGATTCTTGGAGCTGCGTCTGGTCGTTTCAACTTTATATATGTTCTAGTCCCCAAGCGCAAGCCAAGACAACTCGACACATCCTTTCACAGGCATTGTGCGGAAGGGAAGTCGAGTACATAACTTGATTTTGGTTTGCCGTTTACGATACACGGAGTTGTACGTGAATGCAGAGCTTTCTACCAGTGACCAGTGCCCTTGCATGCCGGAAGCTCCACAACCCAGTTCCTCCACATGCATTTCAAGAGAGGACGCTTCAGATCTGCGTCAGCAGCAGCCTCTCAAGAAGGAAACCCGGGGCCTGCAACCTATCTATACCCGTCTCTCGTCGTAATTAGCTACTTCTCGGAGTCACCTTAGACTGAAATATGACTTTGAGCTTGGTCCAAGTATTCAACCTATACGTAGCCATACACTAGTCAGCTCCAGCTATCTAGCCTAAATCCAAATACCTGGTGATTAGGTACTTGGCACATCCATGGGACCCTGCACCCTGATCCCATGGCAGGATTGTCAAAAAGAGCTGCTGCAGCGGATCAGCACGCAGGTGCGGCAGAGTTGCACCTAATTATATCCCGAAGCCGTGTAGACGGTGATGCAAGGTGATGCTTGAGGCTTAGGCTTAGACTCTTCTAACCCTAAGGCTCAATATGTACCAATAAGAGCCTCATATAATATGGTCTTTAGGCCCAAAAGCCTTGAAATGTGACTCCTCAGAGCCTCAGGGCAAGAGAAGCTCTTAGGCACCGTTTGCTTAAAAAACAACGAAGCAAGCTAAGCCCCTCGGGCTCACATTACCTGTCGTGGTGAACTAAATCAAGCCAAGGGTAGAAGGAGGGACCCTTAATAAGGACCCTAGGTATATACCCTTAATACAGCCATTATATACCCATTATATAGCCCATTATAGGGTACGAGTCCCTATTAAGGGTCCCTCCTTTTCCCCTTTGAATCAAGGACTCTTCCCAAACCGAGCCCTACAGAGCTCCTTATCGTAATGAGACTGTCGTTCTACCTACAAGAACCCAAGGTCCCACCATTACCTTAACCAAAACCCTTCAAGACCTAAGTACCCGACAGACCCTATTATGATTATCAATTTACCAAGGTTCCGATATTACGTTAGGGCTCAGGGTTTCGGGGTGTAAAATGGGGATTTCCGAAAACAGGGGACCCTAATATAGTACCCCAAATAGTAGGATCCTTATTATCAGGACCCCTAAATAAGGTACCCCTATTTTCGGAAACTCCCAAATCGCCGCCCTTGGGGCTGAAGCGTGATGGTTGTTTTAAACTCGGGCTCCCCCCGCGAGGTTCTTTTAGTTTGGGGGCTTCGGGGTTAGGGGTTTTATGGGTTGGGGGTTGAGGGGTTGGGGGTTTGGGGGTTGCGTTGTTTAGGGCTTTAGGGGTATATGTTAGGGGTTTAGAGGTTTCGGGGTTTAGGGGTTGCGGTTTAGGGCTTTAGGCTTTATAAGGCTTCCTTCAGACCTACCGTTATGCCGCAGTCCAGGGGGGTTCGGAGTATGTGGTGTGTTTCGAGGTTTTCGGGCACCTCTTTGAATGGGAGGGCTGATGACGGGGAAGACTGGGCTTGGGGTTTATAGGGTTCCTTGGGGTTTAGGGGGTTTGGGGTTCAGGGTTTAAGGTTTAGGGTATAGGGTTTGTTTATCGGGTTCCTATGAGGGTTCCCAGGAGAGTTCCTCCTATCAGGGTTCTTATATTAAGGGTGCCTCGGGTTCTTGGGATTAAGATCACCTCCCCAGCTGTGTCTCTTGGCAGGGCTTTGGAGATGTTTTGTAACTTCAGATGTCCCCTTATTCTGTTTCAGAGCTTTGCAGGGCCAACCTTTACCCTAAGGGTCCATGTACCCATATAGTCATATAGCGTATACTTTGGCTGTAACATAGTCCCTTTACAGGCACTGTGGGGCCAAAGTATCTGCTATATGGGTACATGGGCCTTGAAACCCTAAACCGCCTGAACCCTAAAGGGTTCGGGGGGGTTGGGGGTTCGGGGTTCAGGGTTTAGGGTTCAGGTTTAGGGTCAGGGGTTCAGGATTTAGGGGATTAGGCGCCCTGAGCCGAGGGTACGAATCCGCCCAAATACTTAATCTACCTTCATCTTTGATCCCCAACCCCTAAACCCTAAACCTCTAGACCCTAAACCCTAATCCGCTAAACCATAAACCCCTAAACCCTTAAACCCTAAACCCTAAACCCCTGATCCCAAACAGGTCCGACAGCCGAGGCTCCCAAACTTCAAGCTCTAGAGACCGCAAATCCTGAACCGCAGCTGGCAAGGTGGGTTGTTTACCGCCCCCTGCTGAAGACATACCCATCCCGATCTTCCCGAAGGCCGCGTCTTTCGGTTTTTTTGTTTTAATTCCATTGCAATATGACTCCCTGTGTATGTTGTTTTAAAGATACAACTTTATATTCTGGTTCCAAGGACGCTTAAGTCTCATCGTGGTGTCGTCCAGGGGGCTTTGGAGTTCCTGTCTTCAGAGGTTGAGGAGCTTTGGATTTAATATAGAGGCCTGAGGAATTGCCAACATTGGGTTAATTGGGCTCTTCAGGGTCCCTTGTTGAAGTTCTATTCTAGTATACCCACAACTCAATTGCATGTTGGTTTATTATAACCCTACACCATGAACCCCACACCAGGGCTAATCCTTGTAACTTCCTAAAGGGATGGCCAGGCTGGCTGATTTTATGCGATTGGATACGACTTCGGGGATGATACATACAATCTCTACTAGTCCGTACACATCTACAATAGGTTCAGGCCCCTCATTATGACAAAAAAGCATTCATGCACCGCGTTCCTTCAAGAGCTTTTCGACAGCGAAGGCCAGAAACGCAAGCCTAGGCACCAGCTGCGGATTGGCTCAACTTTTTATGATTCCGAGGATTCTGCAGGATTCTATTAAGGGCTCTTACAATAAGGCTTGAAGGTTTGAAGTTGGGGCTCCAGGTTTCCGGATTTGGGGTTTTTGAGGGTTTAGGGAGCGCAGCTCGAGTTTTCGATTCCAAGCCCTTAGCACGGTTCTCCATTCCTCAATCCCTTTAGGGCTTCTAGAGCCCCTTTAACAGCCCTGAAAGAAGCCGTAGCAGCCCTTTCTAAACCCCTACACACCCCAAACCGATGGAAGGACAAGAACGGCAAGCACAGCCGCCTTCCCGGTCGGGGAGCCTTGTTCATTCGGGTTTAGGGGTCGGGATTGGGGGTTCAGGATTTCGGTCGGGGTTGTGGGATTGGGCTTTCTTTATGCGTAGCTTGTTTTGGTCAATGGATAAAGGGGACTTCTGTTAGCTGCACATCTAGGTTTGCCGGTGTTACATTCATGCTTTTGGTGTTCCTGGCAGCCAGCCTAGACCCTATAGCTAACCCTCAACCCTAAACCCTGTAGCTATGGGTCCTCGTAGCCACACTCGTCACACCTTGCGTCTTTTGGGGCTTGGTGCTTGGGGGATTGGGGGAGGGGGGGGTATGGGAGTTGATGAATCAAGGCAAGGTGCGCAGAGATCAAGATGCAGACTTTGGGCATTGAGGGGTGTGATTTGTTTAGTTTTCGAATTTTGAAGGGTTGGTTCCGGGGGTTGTGGGGTCGCGGGCTGTAGGGTTCTGGATGAACTCTTAAGTGTCGGTTACAAATTTGCATTCCGTTCCCCAGCAGCCGCCTACGATTCAGAGCTCTGCAGTCAGGGTTCATTCTCTTCCTGGACCCTAAGGAACCTACCTTTTTTGGGCCCTCTAATATGATTTCTTTATATGGGAGTTTCCGAAAATCGGGGAACCCTAATAATATAGTACCCTAAATAGTAGGATCCTTATTACAAGGACCCCAAAATAAGGTACCCCGATTTTCGGAAACTCCCATATAAGCCCCTAAAAATGTAGGTTCTTTGGGGTGAAGGTTCGGGTTATGAACCTGTGGCTTCGGATCGGGTGCCAAGACCCGGAGCTGAGCCCGTGGTAAACTAAGCACTACTTGGAGGTTCATGGGTAGTTATAAGGGTTCCCTTTGAAGGGATCCATAGGGATTCTATAAGGGTATAGGATTTAGGGCCTACTTCGAGGTTCATGGGTAGTTATAAGTGGGCTTATAAGAGTCCCTGAATAGGAGTTATAACTATAATTACCTTACTTCTAACCCTACTTATAACTTATAACTACCCATGAAGCTCCAAGTAGGCTGTTGCATAACGCATACACGTCCTGAGTCTTTCTGTCCACTGCCTCAGACTTAAGCAACCCTTTCTGGATGGAACCGTTGCAACAACTGCCCAGCAAGCTCAAAAACTCTCGCAGCTTGCCGTTGTGCCCAGGCAGTCCCCGAGAGTACAATGCAGGCCGTCAGATTGTTCGGCAGTCCTTCGTGTTTGGGTAGTTAGGAGCGCAGACAAACACGTAAGCGTCACAAGCACAGAAGCATAATTCAGGATGGCATATTGGGAGTTGTCTAGAATCCCACTGATATAGTGGATTTAGCATCGTTCTGTTTACGTGGTCTTTCGCAGGCTAGTTGTAGCCCCTCAGAGTCGGATCTGCTGAATCTGTGTACCCAAAAGCCTAATGTGCCCTACCTTAGACCCGGAAAGCCCCAGAATGTCTTCTTCTGCTGGCCTGTCGTGATCGTCCCTGCTCCGTCTTGGCTCAAATCCTGAGGATCAAGTTAGAGTTTGTTCGAAGACTTGGGTGCGTATGTGAATACTAATTACTGCGGGTATATCCTCGGAACCTTAGGGACGCGCTTCGGGAAGTTTCTTGTCCGGCACAGCCTGGCTGCTTTGATCCGTGCAACTCGCCGCAACCCAACACTGTTCACGGGAGCGTCCGCAGTAGTAGCAGCAGCAAGGAGAACTGGAACATAGGGTCAGTATGTACAGTCACACCAGTATTGATAGTTCCAACAGTATTCCAGTCTTCATACTGCTAACACTAGCCATAGTTGTCGGCTGTACGAAGAGACAGATGATGCGAAATGCGGAGAGACTACTGCTAATCCTCAAGCTCAACAAGACCAAACTGGGTACTCTTTATAGATGTTAGACTGCACAGACACAATTTGTCTCTGTTCAACGACGGCCTAGGCAACCGTCCCTGACGCCTAGTTAAAGCTTTTGGCCTCAGGTACATGCATACAATTCCAACGGTGCACGTATGTACATGACGGAAGCTGTGGCCCTAAAGATACAGGAGCTGGAACCCAAACCTAAACTCGCAGGGAGATCGTGGCATCTGTTCCCAGGGAGCCCAAGACAATTTCAAGCAGGCGATGTACTCCAAACCATGCGTTGGATCACTCCATAAAACCCTAAACCCGATAGCCTATACCCCAAACTCTTGAGTTGAGAAGTAGCGTCTTCCCTGGCTGAAGGTCACCGGGCTGCCCTGTCCGAGAAAAAGCCAACTTCGTAACCACACACTGCCGTAAGCTGAAGCCGTCGGCTCAAAGCCAAAGCCTGTCGTAAACCCTAGCTGAAAAGGAAACAGCTTACGTTTTCAAGCATCTACATGAGCCAATCATAATCTATAACCCCGAGAAGCTAGGTTATTCATGGCTCAGGTAAACCATGAACTTCCAACTCCCTTCTTAAGCCGTGGACGCACCTGGTCCCGCACCAGCCCCAAATCCGCGAAGCCTTACTTCAGAAGCCCACTAAAACCCTAAACCCTAAGCCCCAAACCCAGTAAGCCTTGCTTCAGAAGTCCTCTAAAGTCCAAAACCCTAAACCCTCCCAAACCCGCCAAGCCTTACTTCAGAAGCCCTACACACCTGTCGAAACCCGAAATCCCAGACTTCCTAGACCCAAGACTTACTTTAGAAGGCCCACACCCAAGGCTGGAGATTGCCAAATGTGTGTGTGTGTGTGTAAAAATATGTACATAGGCATATATACATATGCATATACATGCACGCATGCATGCATGCATCATACATATATATATATATATATATACATACATACATACATGAGCAGAACAAGCAGCTTTCGGTCTACGTGAACAACGGGTGTGAAATGTTGTGAAGGGAAACATGCATATGCGAACTGACACCATTCCTGAGCTAGTCCCTGGGCCAAAAAGGTGTCCCCCATGAAACCCTGAGCCATACCTGACACCCTAAACCCCTGCCCCTCAACCCTGAACCACAACCCTACACCCTGTCTCCGAATTTCGGATCCGACGATGCCATGCGCACGATGATGATAGCAGAGTCGTCGTCCCGTGACGTCCGCCCCTTGCGGGATGGTGCGCCGCAGGTGGAAGGGTTTTTAAGTTTAGGGTTTAGGGCTTATGGATTAGAGTTGGATTACTACAGGGTTTAGTGTTTAGGGCTTAGGGTTTAAAGCAAATCCCAGAAAGTTGAAACATGGTTCTAGGACGAGAAGTGCTGGGTTTCCCTGTGCTTTACCTTAAGGACACGAGGATAATCCTTTTCCAAGCTGCTGGCTATACTTTAGAGTATAGTAAGAAGAAACATCTGCATAATCGCCAGCTTCTGAACACGAGTTGTCAATAACCCGGTTTTTGAGCAGGCTTCGCTACTCGCTTGATGGGGTGTCAGCCAGGTGCGATTGATTGATATGGCAGTGTAATAGGCTTCCCGCCTTAGGTTGCAGGGCTTGTGGCCTAGGTTTTCATAATGTTTTATGACCGAGATGCTTTCCGGTCTCCAACTCAATAAATGTACGGTTCCAAGCCCAACTCTTGCGAATTTGTGCCCGAAGAAGCATACTTTGGACGTAGACGATGCCCCCTCAAGTAGCATCATGTCAAGTATGTACTATGCGAATGTCTGTGTCCTTTGAGGAGGAGCATCCGAACATGAACATTGGACGTGTCTTCTGAAGCCACGGGACCGTCTGGGTTAAGATCAGATACATTCGAAGCCCAAGCCAACGGAAAGTTGGACTTCAGCGCTTGTCCACTTCGGTTTATAAATGGCCCCAAATTGGAGTTTCCGAAAACGAGGGGTACCTTATTATGGCGTCCTTATGATAAGGACTTAGACTCCGGAGCATTTTTGTTCATGGGACCCAGGGGCGTACGTCTTCAAGGGCATCGCGCAAAACCTGTCAGTGAGCGTAGTATATGGGAGTTTTCGAAAATTAGGGGTACCTCATAAGTTGGGGTCCTTACAATAAGGATCCTATTGTCTAGGGTACTGTATTAGGGTCCCCCTTTGGGGTCCTTACAATAAGGATCCTACTATCCTATAGGGTACTGTATTAGGGTCCCCTCTTCTCGGAAAGTCCCATACGATAGTGGACTCAGAGAGTCGGCTTTTCTCAACATGAAGATCCCTGCCCGCCTAAACCCTGAACCCTAGCACCCTTTTAAGGACTTATATAAGGAAAAATATATTAAGAGAAGCCCTAGAAAGGTAGGTTCTTTAGGGTCCATGTAAGCCCTAAATCAAGAATTTCCGAAGCCCTGCAGCCCCAAACCCCAAACCCTAAACCCCAATCCCTATTAAACCCTAAACCCAAAGCCTAAACCCTAAGCCTTAAGCTTATAAACCCTAAACCCCTAAACCCCAATCCCTAAACCCCAAAGCCTAAGCCTTAAGCTTATAAACCCTAAACCCCTAAACCCCAAGCCCTGCAGCCCTGGGATATGGGAGTTTCCAAAGTTAGGGGGTACCTTATTTTTGGGGTCTTCATAATAAGGATCCTACTATCTAGCGTGCTATATTAGGGGTCCCCTATTTTCGGAAACTCCCAGATCATAATTAGGATCCTACTATTTAGCGTGCTAGATTTGGGTTCCCTAGTTTCGGAAACTCCCATATAGATCCCGCAAGCCCCGAGACAGGTTCGTCCGCTGCCGCCATCAGCGCGCTTCGTCAAGCAGCCCCTTCGGATGCAGTTCTTTAGGGTTCAGGGGAATAGAGGTTTAGGGGTTTTTGGGGTTTGGGGGTTTAGGGGTTTAGGGGATTAGGGGTTTTGGGGTTTAGGGGTTTAGGGTTTGGGGGTTTAGGGCTTTCGGGCTTTAGTGGTTTAGGGGTTTAGGGGCTTGGGGTTACTAGAACAAGGGTTACGTTTTGGGGTTTTGGCTTAGGGCTTACAGGGCTAGTCTCATGACGGTGACGATCGCATTGCTATGGCTACGGTCTAGGGTTTAAGACGGCATAAGACTTCGGTTAAAATGTGGTTAAAAGGTGCTTAGTGCTTTTGTAAGGTTCAAGATAGACGTGCGTCGGGCTTTTGTCGGTTTAGGCTTTGCAGCTTACTTATTTAGCAATTATTTCAGCTTTGATCTCAGGAAAAGCAAATACAAACACACTACTGGCCCTGGAGCTTTTTGGTTTGGGGGCTGAGCCTCTCTGTTTCTACGGCTTCAAGCTACTCTCCCAAATCGTAACCTGCAGATGAGCTGACCGACCCTAGGTACCGGATTATTGTGTCCTTTGGACCCTCAGGGTGCCTACACCCTTGAAGCAAACGGCAGGTTTCCTAGGAATGACATGATGATTCCGGCATTTATTTATAGTAGGTATGCAACCTTTAGTGCTCTTCGGGGCAGTATGATCCCTATATTATGAGCCCCGAAGGTTAACTGTTCAGCTGTAGTTTTCCTAGGAAACTGGAGAAGTACGATCGTGATTTTGCCATAAGCCGTTTGTCTTATTTGTGCTTAGGGGCTTAGGATTGCACGCATTCTCGGTGTGATATAGGGGTCGGAATAATTGCCAAGATTATTCTGTAGGTTTCCTTATTATAGGTATCCTATAATGTACCCGCAACCCTTTTCTGTTCTAGTCCAGTTTGTTGGTTTCGTTCTGTCTTCGTAAGATAGCGGCAGCTGGCCTGGCTAGCTGCCGCAAGCCCTGAACTTACTAGTAGGGACCAACTGCACATGTACGAAAACTATTGAAACCTACCCCGAAGTAGTGCTAGCTAGCGCGGCTATTATTATGATTTTGAAACTGTAGTACTTGTAGAAGTACACTCTTAAAACAGTGTCTGAGATTCTATAAACCCCACTTCGTCACGAAAGCGCCTCCTTGACGGCAACCGGCAGATCCGAGGCACTTCTTTCGCTTCTTCATCGTGTGTGTTCTTCTAGGCCGGAGGGCTCACTTGGTGTGATGCGAGTTTGGGTGGTATACTTTCAAGTCGAGTATTGGGTTGAGAGTCTGTACATGGTTCAGGGTTCAAGTCTTCTAGATTTACGTCAAACAGGGCCACTGCAACACAGCTGTACCCGGCTATGCTGTGTTGAGGCTGGTTCAAAGAGAGTTGTACATGTACCCGTCCATCATGGCACGCGTACGGGCTTTAATGCTGTTTTCCAAGGATCTCACCTACACACTCTTGGGACTGTTAGGGGTCAATCGTGAGCTCTTGCCCTCAGGGTCCTTCTACTCAAATAGCATACACTTTGGGCCCAATGTACCTATATAGGGAGTACTTTAAGGCCAATGTATATACTACTTGGGCACATGGACCCTTAGGCTTGAAGCTTTTGCCATGGGCCTCAGGCCCCGTACTGTTTCTGGCACTGGACCTCGCAGTGGCGCCGCCGAAGTGCCATTGCTGGCAGTTTTTCCGGGGACCTCAAAAGCTGGGATGACAACGTAGGAACTATAGTCTCCTTAGGAATTATTTTGCTATTTTTGTTCATAAAAAACCCAAGAGAATATTATAGACATCATTTTTATTCTGGTTCTAAGGGGGGAGAATGGAGGATTCCTTATTATGCGGACTTTTGTTAGCAACGACACCACCTATTTGTATCCCATTCTGGAGGCCCTTTGAGTTTGAAGATGAGCAAGACAGGCCTTCAGGACTTGAGGCCGTAAGCCCTAAGCACTCTTTGGAGCTTCTTGCCCTAAGGGTCCATGTGCCCAACTAGTATATACATACATTGGCTTTAAAGTACTCCCTATATTACAGGTACATTGGGCCCAAAGTGCATACTAGTTGAGTACATGAACCCTTACCGTAAGGGTTCAAGTACCTCATAATCATGAACTCCCCAAAATAGTAACCTACGTAACTAGTATCCGAATTCCAAGTACCTTATGATTAGGTGCTTTGGACCCTTAGGGTTAGGGTTATTCTATTTGAGTACATGGACCCTTAAACCTTAAACCTTATCGAACCCTTATAAGATCCTTACAGAACCCTTATGGTACCCTTAAAGCAACCCATTAAAGGAACCTATCTGAGTACATGCACCCGTAGTGTTATTGATTAGAAGGGGCCCCCAGCCTGTAATAGTGGTATGATAGGAATATAATAGGTCCCATAATAATCCTTATAGTCACTATTACAGGGTGGGGGCAGCTTCTAAGTTATTGATTTGCTTTGGGGGAGCTCAGGAGCCCTCCAGAGTGGAAGCGGTGGCTGGAGAAGCTAAAGTGGCCTGTCTTGATAATTCGGGAACCTTTAAAGGGATAGACAAGGGATCTCTAAGGGTTCTAAAAGGGTACTATTAGGGTTTAGGGGCTAGGGGTCTAGGGGTTTAGGGGTTTAAATGTAGGAACCTGATTAAGAAAGCTTTGGGCCTAAGGGTTCCTTTAAAGGGGTCTATAAGGGTAACTATAAGGGATCTATAAGGGGACTAGAATAATGTAGGAACCTGATTAAGAAACCTTGGGCCTTTATTAGGGCTCCTTGTTTGAATCGTACTATTTTGGGAGTATAGGTCCAGGGCTTCTTACTCAGGTTCCTACATGATGCGGCTCTTTAGATTGGTCTTAGATGAACGGGGTGTTGCAGCTTGTTAAAGTGGCGTGATGCACTGAGGCTCACGTCTTTCAACGTTTTCTCCCTTGGCGTACAACACGGTGCATCAAGCCTCCCTACATCCTAGGTGGCAAGTATGAGTGTATTCGGTCAGATGCCGGGATCCGACAAGGCTTAATGTGTATACCACGCCATAGAAGCCTGACTGTTTTCGAGGTATGCCTCCATACCTGTGGTGTCCGTCTGCTTCACCTGGTGGCACGTCTGGCTGGGCATTCAGATGTGTTCCTCAGCTGCTAAAAGCACCGAATCTGGGCATTCACCCCCAATTTGGCCCCCAATGCCAACTTGACACCATATACTCTGATGCTTGTTCCTATTTCATGAACATGTCTGTGTTTACGTGCGTATTTGCTTGTTCTATGTGTTTTAATGTCATTGAACAATTCAGTAAACTACCTATGCTACATACGAAGAATACAAATGCGTAAGGCACAGCAAAGCATTTCATACAGAGAAAGCCTATGGTAGTAGAGTAATTATAGGTAACATTGAAGTATTGTGTGGTACTCGAATCGCTTTATAATCCCAATGTACTCCCAAAGGTTAACCTTTGGTTCTCCACTATGCTCGATCAGTAGCAAAACGCAGGTTTCTACTTCCCCAAATCATGATAGTAATTCCTATCATAGAGACCCAACACTCTACTACATAGGTATACACTTTGGACCCTGTCAGAGAAACCCCCTACATTCTACTAGGATTCTACGACATAGGTATGTACTTTGGACCCTTCCCAGACAGCCCAATACCCCTGAATTAAAGAATATGGCCTAAATCATAAAATTAAGCCCCTATAATGATGATTCAAGGCTCCGTAATTAAGGGGTATTGGGCTCTCTGGGTTTGAGAAAGCCCAGGTTGGTATCCCATCGAGTTCTGGGGACGTCCCCCATGCCTCGGATGGCAGGGCATCGTGCCCCGAAGGGCGCGGATCATGGCCGAGAGGTCCGCTTAAGGGACTCTGCTGGAGGGTTTAATTAGGGTCTCAGGTTACAGTTATTCGGAATTGTCATCATTGCGGTTTAGGGTTTAATCAGGGTTTCAGGTTTATGTTAATACTAATTATAGCCATACCGGTTTAGGGTTTTTCGGATTCAACTGAAATTAGATAATGTAAGCATAGCAGTGTAGGGTTGAGATTTATGGGTTTATTCCGGGGAGGTGACGTTGGTGTCGTTTGTCTGCCAGCCTGGGGTCTTTCATGCTGTATCCTGGTTATTGTAAGGGCCCCAAAATCATGTGCGCCAAATTTTCTGAAAATCCCCCTTGCTTTTTGAGGGGCCCAGGTCTGGCTGTGGGAGATCTCTGAGGTTGTAGCAGGTTCATGGGTAGCTTTTAGTGGAGTGATCCTGTTGATAGTATAAATCCTGCATTACCCATAATAAGGGTTATACCATAATTCCCAAGGTTAGGGAGCTTAAGGTAATGCAGAATTTATATCACCAACCGTAAGTCCCCTACTATGGGTTGTAAGTAGTTACCTCACATATGACCCTACTCAAAAGCTACCCCTGAACCTCACCACGCCGAACCTCCAAGTAGTTTGGTCCTTGCTGGCGCCTTCGCCCGACAGATCATGCGACCTCATGATTGGCAACTTAGTCACCGTCGAGGAGCTCGTCGACCGTGCCATGCCAGCAGCACGTTGCGGCCTTCGCGTTGATGCAGTTCGAACAACAAGAATGAACCGAATGTATATAGGAAATTGGGAGTTAAGTACTGCTCTAGATACACCCCCCCCCCCCAGTGATATCTACCATGAGGCGCACAGCAGAGGTTTAGGGTGGAAGTTTTTCTGGTCCAGGTTGAAGTTTGAGCCCAGCAGAAGCTTTCGCATTATGGATAATTTCCCATGGCTATCAGAGGAGCCGTGTCAATCCTTTAGTGTTCCGCGTAGATGCGAGAACATGTGTAGTCAGCCAGCAGGGGAAACCAGCCTTGGCCGCATGTGCGTAGATGGGTATACAGTATCGAACCCTAAGGCTCCATGTACCCTTATAGTAGATACGTAGGCCTTAAAGTACCTATGTAGGGACTACTTTGGGGCTATAAGGGTACATGGACCCTTAGGGGAAATGAAAATGATGACTGGAGTGGGATCTCTGACGCTGACCAGACCCAACTTGATGCACTCCCTGCTCACTGCTAACCCCTGCAGAATCGTAGGCAGTAGAACTTGAGCGCTTTGCCGTATATCCTCATGAAAGACCGCATGACAACCACAAGTGGCCCTTAACCCTGGACTTCACACCCTTCGAAACTAAAACCCGAAGCCCTAAATCCCCACCCGATACTCAAGCCGAAACCTTACGACCTAACTTATAGTTTTGAGGTCTATAGGGCTACTATGCTTGCCCTGAGCCATACATCCTGGTAAACAATCAGAAATGGCAAACCTTGATCCTTACCCCGAAACCCTGAAGAACTCTAAACACCAGCCCCGAAACCCTAGGCCCGGCGAGCCTCAACAACAACCCTAAACTCAAAGGGCAAAAAGAGGCACCCTTAATCTGGACTCCCCTACCCTATAATGGGCTATATAATTGGTATATAATCGCTATATTAAGGATATATACCTAGGGGTCCTTATTAAGCCTCCCTTTTACCCTTGGATAAACCATAGGCCCTCAACCAAAACCTCAAGCCAGCAACCCAGGGATCCACCCCGAAGACTTCTTTGGACAGCTTGGTCCGGCTCTAGGCCTGGCCTTTAGGAGCATCCAAGCCAGAACGTGAAGTCTGCTCATCTAGGATGCCCAGTAGTACCCTTATTCCCTTTTTGTAGTCCTAGGTTCCTTATAAAGTTACCCAATGCCAAAAAGAGAGGCCTTTTTATTCTTAGGTTACTGGGTATCCTAGTCATAGGCGGCCACAAGGGGTTTTAGCCTATGGGGGTTTAGTAGGGATTAGGGTTCCCATAATAGGGCTCATATTAAGGAGTCCCTACCCCAAGAATCTTAAACCCCTCTTTTGGCCTCCTAAAGTCTTCCAGGGTTTAGGACTTTTGCTTTAGGGGTCGGGTTCGAGATGTCGGAAACCATAGAGGAATTATGGGGGTATCTGGGTATTCCGGGGTCTTGTTGGGCGTTTACATGTTTATTTTGTTTGGGCTTTGGTTTGTGGGGTTTCCATAGGGTGTCAAGGGTTTTAAGGGCTTTTGCACATCAGGTTTGATTTTGTTAAATGTTAGGGCTTTGTGGAGTTGTAGGGTCAAGAGTCTGGGTCTACCTAAAGTGTCCATTGAAGTTCCTTGATTGAGTGAGCCAATCGTATGGTTGGGAATCGGAACCTATAATGCAAAACGCAATATCCACAATACATTGAGCTACAAGGGAGACTACAACCCCAACCCCCCTAATAGCCTAAACCCTAAACCCCCAAACCCTAAGCCCTAAACCCTAAACCCCAACACTGCATCCCACAAACGACCAAAGACCGCTGACAACCCGAAAATCGCACGCCCTCAAGCTCCCATCGCCACACTTCGTGTCCCACACCTCGAATTCTGATGAATTCTGTCCAGTGGCGGCTACGTGTAGAGATAGGTACTTCGGTAACAGCAGTGGAGAGTTGGGGTGGTGATTAGCAAGATGCCGGAGGGACCAGATGCCAGACGTAGGCAAAGCCACAGACTGTCACATTCCGGAGCTTCTTCTGGACTTTTGCATTGGCCTTGCATGCTCGGCCGGCAGGGACGTGCAGCACAGCGGTGCTGAAGCGTCTGGCAGAGAAGCACTGCCCACAGGCTTGGTACCGGGGTTTAGGATTGGCTTGCGTGATGTCTACTGCTTGGGTATTAGATGAGACCTCGGGGTATTCCGGTTTCGGTTTAGGCTCTGCACAAGCATGAAGACTAGGTAACGTGAAACCGCAAGCTCAAGACAGTAGTGCAATAGCTATCTGTACTACTCCAGCATGCCTTTTGCACAAACGCTGCAGGACATGCGCTTGGGCCGCAGTGTCAAACACGGAACACCCGTAGGCCCTCAAGGCACCAAACATCCCTAAACCCTAACTCCTACAAGCGCGATCCCTGCGCGCAAAACCCTAAAACCCTTACTAAACCCTAAAACCCCCTAAACTCCCAAACCCTAAAAACCTATATAAACCTACAAAACCCTGACCCCGAACCCTGAACCCTAAACCTGAAAAAAAAACTCAAAGCCCTGCACCCTCTAAATCCTGACCCCGAGCCCTGAACGTTTGTTCCTTCAGGTCTGGGCGCAGCTCCCGGACTCAGTCAGACAGGATCCGCTTCTGAAATGATTTTGTCCAAGGTACCTGCGTTTTTTGGGATGTCTAGGGTTCAAAGGGTTCCGGGTTGGGGGATTCAGGCTTCAGGGTTGAGGGTTTAGGGTTGACCTATAGTCTCCATTGTAGTTCGTTTTGTTGGTTAGCCAGTTTATGGTTAGGATCCTATAGTATTGCGTCGGTTAGACCAAGAAGGAACTACAATGGAGACTGTAGGCAGGGTTCGCCCTGTTGACAAGTGCCTTGCTTGCTGTGTTTGCCGAAGGCTTGCCGGCCGCTTTGTCACTTCTTCTCGCAGTCCATGTGAGAGTTTCCGAAAATAGGGGACCCCTATATAGCACCCTAAATAGTAGGATCCTTGTTATGAGGACCCCCTAATAAGGTACCCCTACTGCCCGAAGCCCTCTAAGCATCGGTGTGGCAATTTTTTAGTCGCAGGACTTCTTGCTGGATGGATGACTATATTCTCGAAATCTGGGTGTACAGTACTACTTCCCCAACCCGGAAGCCCCAAGCACATAGCCACATTGGGAGGAGCTGAACGCAAAGGTTATGGAACAGAGTGTGTGGCTTGGCTGCCCAAAGAAGTTGCTCGCTGCTTGCGGGCGGTTTCGGATGAGAATATCGGGGCCTAAATAAAAAATACCAATGCTATTTCGGGGTTACTTATTAGAATGATATAGTATAATGGCCCCAAAACACTATTCTGATTATTATTATTATTGTCCTTATTCAGGCCCCTCAATTATGCGGGAGTCAAGGCTTCGGTTCGTGGCTTGAACTGAAACTCGATGTGCGAGGATGTTTATGTTCCGCGCTATAGCTGAACCCAACTAGCTACCTACTTTTGCGAGAGCCATCCAGTTTTGTGTACTGGGGGCCTAAGCAATTTCTAATACTATGTTGGGGGTTCTTCTTTCTAGTTATAGTCTACTATACCCCCCCAAGACAGTATTCGAGTTAGTAAAGCCCCTAGAGTATAGGCCTCTGTCGTAGTCTTGCACTCGCACTAACTCCACGAAGAAGCTCGTGAGCTTGACCCTCGCTCGCTTTGATGGTAAACGATGCCTCAAAGCGCGGGACCACCGGGATCGAAAGCAGACAGTAGGTTCATGAAACATCCATGAGTCAATCAAACACCCAAATCTAGAAAAGAGCCCAGGAGGAATCAACATAGCAACACAATCTGAAACTCCACCCCCAAACCCTATTCATCGAATCCCCCACAACCTCCAAACCCTCAAGAGCTAGACCCCTGAAACATCTAGCCCTAAACGCAAAACCCCTGAACCCCTAAAGTCTTAACCCTAAACCCCACTAAACCCGAAGCTCCCTAAACCCTTAAACCCCAAAGGTTCTACAAATCCCTTAAACCCTAAACCCCATGAAGCTCGAGCCCCGGGCTTGCCCAAGCCTAGTCCTATCAGGCTTATGTTCCGGCCGGTGATTGAAGACCTAAAGCAGAACGTGCAGCTCGTCTTCTAGATTCGTGAATCGCACCCTTTTGCCCGTATTTTTATCTTAGGGTCCCTTTTATGAAAACCGAGCAATAGGAAAAATGGTACCCCAGTTATAAGGGGACTACTCAGGAACCTCGTCTTGGTGTCAGGGAACGGCACGTTAGCTAAGGCAAGTTTTGCAGAGCTTCCACTTCGTTTGGTTATCCACACGTCCTCAGCGGCGGTTGAACACGTTGCTACTATATAGTACGCGTTTCCAGCCTTCAATGCTTCCAGCCTGAACATCACGACTCTACCGAATAGGTAGCAACAGTCTTGACCTCTGTTCTCTCAAGCCTCACGTGTCAGAGTACTTTAGGGGCCTTAATATTTACATCGGTTTTTTTGGGGGGGTAGTCTACTCGATGCTATTTTGGGAGATAGCACTATTGACTATTGGCTGTTGCGGCCTCTAACTGTTCTTGTTGCATCGCCTGTACGTCGATCCCCAGACTGTTTTGTTCGAAAAGAAGTAGGGGTCACAGGATTAACAGGTTTCTTGAGTGCTCCTGGGACGCTTTCCTATTCGGATAGTCGAATTGCCATTTTCTCCTGCTTTACGTGTGTCAGGGAGCCTCACATGTGGTGTGTCTTGGGCTGTGGGTTTCGTTTGAGACCCTGAGGACGAAGATCTTCGATATCAAGCCGCTTTCCTGCACGGAGAAGAGCTCTTGAGTGTTGCAGAGAGACATCCGAATTCCGAATCCGACGAGCCCATACCATCTCAACACCTCATAGCCTTTAAAGCTTGGACTGAATCCCTGAAGCCTGGCATTGCCTGGGGTTGTCAATCAAGGACCCTAAACCCGAAACTCTAAAACCTGAGAAGGCATGGGGTGCAAAGAAAGCAGGGTTTGTGTGTTTTCTATGCTGGTCTGCGAGGCAGATGGCCGTCGAAGCCCTTATCGAAGACAAGGCGCTTCTTGTCTCCATGTTCCAGGACTGGGTTGAGGGCTTACCTACCGTTTCAGGCGTCCTGTTTCTCTATGTGAGTCCGCATAATGGCAAGCTTTTGGGGGCTAAGCCTACCGCCTCCTTTTGTTTACAACCTCTTTTGGTCTCGGGCAGGACATCTCGCAGAAGGAGTTCACCTTTGTGCTTCCGGGCTGACCTTCATCCATACCGGAAGCACCCGGAACCTACACATCCAACGACATCATAACTACAATGCCTCTGACGGGAAGTACAGCACACCCAGACTTGAGTTTCGGGATGCAGGCATTTGATGGAGGTAGCGCTCGAGTAGCATGGGTTTGAACCTTAGACATGGCCGACAAAACTTGAGAAATCTTCCGCCGGATAAGCGTATCGATCCAGCTCGAAGCTTTCTTACTCTTCCCAGGCTGCGCGTTGCAGCTGTGATGGGCTTCATTCTTGGTCTTGTGCAGATGGGCGTGTGGAGTTTCCTGGCTACAGCTCAAGGCATGGAGCTACAAGTTCGTGCTTCGGGTTTCCGAAAATAGGGGACCCTGATGTAGTACCCTAAATAAATAGTAGGAACCTTATTACAAGGACCCCAAAATAAGGTACCCCTAATTTTCGGAAACCCTAAACCCTAAACCCTTTACAGAACCCTTATGGATCCCTTTAAGGAACCCTTATAAAGGATCCCTTTAAAGGTACCCCTAAGTTTCGGAAAATCCCATAATGTGTCATGGCTTTCCTAGATGTTGGATCCAAGGATAAAAGGAGGGACCCTTAATAAGGACCCCTAGGTATATACCCTTAATATAGCTGTTATATACCCATGATATAGCCCATTGTAGGATAGGGGTCCCCATTAAGGGTCCCTCATTTTCCGCTTTGATTGGAGACTGGAGTTCGAAGCGCCGTGCGGTGCCAAGTCATTCGATATTCCTCCTGTGGAGGAATATCGAATATCGAAGACGCTCACTGGCTGTCGGATGTGCTGGGACTCCAGGGCTCTACGATTTCGGAACGATTCAAGGTCGGGGCTTTTGGTGAAACCCAGGCCTTCGGTTTAGGGTTTAGGGACTTTAGGCTTAGGGTTTCCCGGCATCCCACCGGCATTCTGTACAGAGGCAAAACTGCATGCCTCTTTGTACGAAGATCAGCCAAGATCTCCCAAGAGGGTCGGGACATACTGGGGCGCAAACCGACAGTTCCACTTCTGGCCTTTGTGGATTTAATTCTGTACTCTCAGCATGTATGGGCTCCTCACGATGCATGGACTCTTTGTGTATATGTGTCTTCCAATATCAGTTGCGCTTCGTCGGTTGCCGTTCAGACTTCCTGCTACAAATCAGGTTCAAGGCATCTTCTACTAAACTTCACAACACCCTTGCAGTCAGAACGGCCCGAAGGGTACCTTCATTATCGAGCCACGCCAGGTGTCTGTTACCACAGAGCTATGCCACATACTATACATATATCCAAAACCATGGGAACCCACCAAGAATGCTAAATCCTGAACCGAAAGATCCGGTGTTCGCACTCTCGAGGATACATCCATGTTTGGTGGAGCCTCCCCGTCACTGGGCTCGTCATCGGCTACTTCACCAACTGGCTGGCCATCACGATGCTCCTAGGGCTGAGAATGCAGGTTGTTTGAAGGGCGGGTCTATCTAGCAATACTTCTGTTCTGTTCTGTCCTGTTGTTGGAACAGTCAGACGACGCACTCTTGTCTACCAATAGTTACCCTTTACAAAATACGCAAACTTTACAATCTTACAATCTACAGTAGGGTCTAGGCGGGTCAGTGCCAGGAATTATGGAGTTTTGGAAGCCTTATGTGCCCTACCCTAATCCCCAAGCACAAACCCCACGGTACTGAATGCCCTCATCCCGCCACCCGTCTCTGGCTTGTAGAATGTACGATCCAAATCGTGCAATCAGAATAGAAATACGGATACTTCAACATGGTGTAGGGTTTAGGGAAAATAAATTGCCAGACGAACGGCACCGAAAGCGGCGACCCCATACCACAAGCCTCCCCCGGAATTAATGCGGAAGCTTGCGTGAAAACAAACTAGCCAGACGAACAGCGCCCAGGATCTTCCGGCCAGTGCAGCCGCACATCGTCTGCTGCGGTTATGTGAACTGCCAGGGGGTGTTCCTCAAGCGGCAGCAGGAGGCGTCCCAGTCGTCGTTCTTATCAGCGGCAGGTCATGCTATACGACTAATATCAACCAAAGTTCGGTCGAAGCCTGCCTACCAATAGTACTCGGGACATGCTGCAGGCGTCGGGGATTCAGTCGGTACAGGGGGGGAGGGAGTTCAGGATGTTATAAACCCTGAGTGCCGAGCCAGAGCCCGAGACGAAGGTGTCCAGAGAGTTGGCCACAATGATATCAACGAAGCTGATCCACGCGGAGAGGAGCCTCTGTCGGCATTCTCGGGACACGAAGACGCAACAAACATGATGCAGATCTCGGTTACTGCCTCAGCAACTGTTGAATTACGTTTACAGTGTACAGTACAGACATGTAAGGCCCTTAGAAGGAGCCTTGTTGTAGGCCGTTACTGTACACCTGGCTGGTAGACCAAGCTGGAGTACAGAACAGCGATCCAGAATCTTGACTTCTGGGTTCGAGGGCCTGCAATGCAAGCCAGTAAAATTGGCATCTCACTGTTTCCATACCCCCAAGCCAAAGACCAAGCATCAAACACAAGAGAACATGAGACGTTCCTTTGTCTGCCAGCTGTCACGGCTATAGGGTTGAAACACTGTACCTCAAGTCCCGCATCGTCATGAGTTCATGATGCGCTTTGCATGACAATAGGGGCCTTACCACACTGTTTTGGGGGGTTCCTTACTATAAACATACTATAAAGGAGCCCAGAACCCAGAACCCTAGTGTAGAAATTTAGGCCCCTGTATTTAGCCCTCTTCCGAGGATTCTGTCCTACGTGGTGAAGTCGGAAGGCTCCAGAAGTTTTTGGATTTCTGATTTTTTCAGTATTTCGGGGTGGGCATCGGCCTGAATGGCCATTTTGGTGGGATAGGGAGGCTTCGTGACAAGTTGCTTTAAGTCCTACAACTTTAAAGTTGAAGTATACGGGTCACATTTAGGGCCTATAAGCATGCTTTGCTATTCGCCTGCGTTGTATGACAGAGAAGCTGGACTCTGGATGTGTGATCGTTGACACAACATGTCCTGTATGTTCAAACCCGACATAAATTGGGGTTTGCGGTTGACAACCACAGATGCCAACACTTGCGAAGTTTTGAAACCTTCCCTGAAGACGTCAGTTACTAGTTGCAGGGGACACAAGTAGACTGGAGCTCCGTAGAAGTGACACGCCTTCCAATTCGAAGTAAGATGCAGGTCAGCTCAGTTCAATTCAAGGCTGTTACTAGCTGTTTCATTAATTATCCCCTAAACCCTAAACCCTCACAATAATTACGAACGACAAAAACTTGCCTCCAGACTTGCGTGGTTGTGTGAAGCCTCACCTATATGCAGAATTCGTGCTTCAGGCTTTCAGCAGGTGCTCGACATCTACCAGACGCGTCACGGCAGCACTTTCCTTAGGAGCGCGAAAGGCCTTTGAAACCTGAGTTCCACCCGCAAACACAGAAGGATTGAATGGTGATACTTCCTGAGTCTGCTGCTGGTTCGTCACAGGAAGCTTGATCTGAAAGCCCTGGAATCCCAAAACCCTGCTCCACCCCTCCGCATCCTCAGCCCAAACCAAACCCCATATCCCGGACCCTTGACCCTAAACCCTAAACCTCCCAGGCACATGGACCACGCAGTGGACCAGGCCGGACCTTTCTTCGTTGCCTGTTTCTGCATAGTCCTAGACCCTCCTCCTACCCTGGACCAGCCCCTAGGGACGATGTCCTAGTCTAGGGTACAAGGAGGGTCCAGGGTTGTCCAGAAAAAGTCTTGAGATCCAGGGTCGAGGTAAACTGGAGCGATTGCGGCTGAAGAGAGGGCACAGAGGCTCGCTGTGCACAACCTTTCCAAGAGAACCCTACATCACCCCCTCAAACCCAAGCGCCCGCCGCACTCTAAACCCCCATGTCAACACCCTAATCCCGACGCTTTGGGTAGTTATAAGTAGGGTAGCTATACTTATAACTCATGTTAGGGGACTTAGAACCCTACTTATACCTACCCATGTAGGCCCTAAACCCTATACCCTTATAGAATCCCTGTAGATCCCTTTACAGGGACCCTTAACGGAACCCTTCGACCTACCCATGACCCTCCCAGTAAGCTCCGGGAGGTCCTGGGCCGCACCTCACGCGTGCTCCCCGCCTTCGTCGGCCGGGACGCCGTGCGCGGCATCAAGGAGCCCCAACCCAAAGGCTCAATGTACCCTTATAGTAGATACTTAAGCCCCAAAGTAGTCCCTATATAGGTACTTTAAGGCCTAAGTATCTACTATAAGGGTACATGGAGCCCCAACAAACAGACTCTAAACTCTAAGCCCTACACTGTACCCTACACTCCAAACGATGAACGCCAAGCCCTGAACGTCACGTCTGAACTTCCTGGAGCCCGGCTGGGTTTGGGAACAACCATGCCGACCTGTTGTTTTAGAATCTTCGGTACTGTGTTTCGCGTTTATGTCTAAACAGACGTTTGTACACTTCACAGCATTGTTGCTTTTTTTTGTGATACTGCGTCAATAGAGGGTGTGCGAGGGGTTATTGCTCAGGGTTCAGCTCCTTGCCTCGAGCCCGAGCCCGGAGGTTTCTAACAGTTTTATCTACAGATCGCTATCTTGTCGGATGGTTTATGGGTTTCTCACCTGCCGCATTTCATCAGCACTGAGGCCGAAATCCGATATCCCTTGCGTACTCGAGGCCCCCACTGGCCGAACAGCACCTCAGAATACTTCGGCTACCCGAAACCGCATAGCCCTTGAAGAATTACCCATACTAATTTGGGGGGTTCCTTATCAGAGTTATAGTATAGCGGGCCCAAGCATCCCATTCTAATTATTAAGGGCCCTGCATCTCTAAATCCCTTATAGTAACCCTTATTAGAACCCTTTGAAGGAACACTTTTCTATTTCTTAAGGCCCCTATCTTAGACACAAGACACCTGCCCTAAGGCTCAAAATAGCCCAAAAGCCTTATATATTATATAGTATGGTCTTTGGGCCCAAAGGCCCCTTAATGTGAGTCCTTAGAGTTAGAGCCTAAGGGCTGGTAAATGAAGCCCGAGGCACTAAGTCTTAAAGCCCCGAGCTCCTGGTGCCCAGGAGGAGGTGGCGCAGTTCACCCTTGAGGCGCTCAGCAGCATTTTGAGGTGTTAGGGTTTATAGGGTTTAGGGTTCCGCAAGTATAGACCCGGGGTTTAGGGTGTAGGGTTCAGGGTTCCGGAAGTCTCGACCCGGTAAGATTATTTCTTGTTTTGCGGTAAGAGCCTATGCCTTACTAGGTTTACCAGCAATGTGGACATTAATCAGCACCCTTCTGCTGCTTGTGTTTCTGGCTTCCCCTTCTCAACTCCAAGCAGTAGGAACAAGGGAGTCCTCAGTGCTCTAAGGGGCCACTGGGGAAACTGGTTGTAAGAGTCCAGTTCCTTTATGGGGGGCCATGTACCTTACCCTAAGGCTCAAAATAGCCCAAAAGCCTTCGATAGTACGCTCCCATTATGAACCCTACTAGGGAGTTTATATGGACCCAAAAGGTAGGGTTCGGTAGGTCTCTGTAGGCCACAGCAGGGCCGTCGGATGTGTAGTTCTGGCTTGCGATGACCAACCCCTCAGGGTCCATGTGCCGACATCAGGTTCCTTTAAGGGTTCCTTCAAGGGTACCATAAAAGTTCTACAAGGATTCTATAAGGGTTTAGGGCTCAAGGGTCCATGTACCCAAATAGTATATACTTAGGGCCCAAAGTACCAATATAGAGGGACTACTTTAAGGCCAAAGTATGTAATTTCTATTTGGGTACATGGACCCTTAAATCCCAGCCTTATAAAGCTCTTATAGGAACCCTTAAAGGGACCCTATTTGGGTGCATGGACCCTTAGGGCACTCCAGGAGCTGCCCGCGCACTCCAGCGACATCGCCCGCTACATGGACCGGACGTGTCTTGGCAGAGCCACGGTTTAGGGGTTTAAGGGTTTAGGGGTTTAGGGGTTTAGGGGTTTAGGGGTTTTGGGGTTTTGGGTTTAGGGTTTAGGGTTTAGGTAGCCAAAGAGCCCGGTACCTTTTTGAGGATGGACTCATCCTGAATGTCTTGGCGGAGGAGTAGAAAGAGAGCCCGATACCCCTTTATGTATAATTAAGGATGGAATCATCCTGAAATGTGACGAGAGAAACTGTTACAGAGGGATCTTGCTCATCATGGGATGACATGTGCGGTGCAGGCATTAGGGGACGCTACTACTTACTACACAGCGATGCGAAATGTTTGCACTCCCCTGACAAAAACGAACTACACACGTGCATGCACGAGCATACATTGACATACACATATAATGTAAGAGAAGATAATACATGTTCTACCCCTCCATGTCATTTTGCACTGCCTGAACCCTGCCCCAAAGCTAACGCTTCAACCCATGTAGTATTGCTTACAGCATCCAGTCTTAACTCTTTTCAAAACCCGCAAGAATGACCTGCAGCCTAAACCCTGAGCCAAAACAGGTTCGGCTTGGCTGAGCTGGTCGGAGAAAGGTTGGCGAACTTGTGACCTGCTCTGCAATTTTTGTCTTTCAACTGCTTGAGTCTGAGAAGTTATGATCTCAAGTGTTTAGGTTTCAGGGCTTAGGCCATGTTGCGTTGTTGTGCTTTAGGGTAGTCGGTTTTCGGGTTTTGTTGGGCTTGGCTTAGGGCTAGGGCTCCGGAGTTTAATGAGGTTCTCCCCAAGGAGCCCAAACAAGCTTGTTACATCAGGAGCATGACGAAGATTGCAGAGGGATCCTTCTACGGTTGAACCGTCATATTAAATTCGTTGTGCTCTCGAAGATTTGCGGGACCCACCTGGAGGTCGATGTTCTCACAGTGCACCGCATAATTATCGAAGATTTGTCTTTGGCGGGTTTTAGTTAGTTACTGTACCTATATCTTATAACCCTACTCTTAACCTTGCTCGGAACCCCAAACTCTAAAGCCTAAACCTATGTCAGACGTAAAAGTCAACTCAACTTTAAAAAAAAAACCTATGTACCTGCGTCCGAGCACATCCTGCTCAGTTTCCGAAGACAGTGCCAGGTCCTGTTGAAACCCTAAATCCTCATCCTTGTATAATTATAGGGGCGATACAACATGCTAAATGCCCAAATGCTCAAACCTTAAACCCTAATCCCTAAACCATGAAGGCCTCAGCCCATAAGATCTTTTGGACTCCCGCGTGCTACCTCAGCTGCTGATCAGACGCATCACTCGCCCAAGGGTGGGGCACGCCCAAGCTCTGCACACTTGTCGTAATGGCTGAGTGGATGCACTTTACACTTTTTGAGATAATGTCACCCACTAGAAAACTAATAGCGTACACTTTTTTTGGGGGGGGGGCTTATGAACTCAACAACTAAGTTGTGTGCTTGAGTTCAAGGGTTGGGGTCCGACATGGATCCCTGCATATATAGTTCTCCAGGATTCATCAAGCTGTTTTGTAGACAGACCTTTATACGTTTCACGAACACTCAGCTATACGAAAGGTTGTCAGAATTAGGATGCCTTTTTGGGCCCTTAATATATTACGGCACCGAAGATTTAGGGCACCCACAAGGGGACTCTAGTTTTGATTACTACCGATATGAAAGGTTGTCTTGGGCCCGCTGAGCGCAAGCCTTCCCACGAGGCCACCAGAGCAGTTCGAAGGCATGCTCAGGCCTGTTTTCAAGGCCGCCCCCTGGTGTTTGCCATATATACTTACGCTAGGGTTTAGGGTTGTTTGCCCTACTTGAGCTAAGTCTCCAAGTATGCAACCACTATCTGCTTTGGGTTCGGTATGATTTACATTACACTTCCAGGTTATTTGGAACCTTGCTGTTGAGGGTTGTGGTTTTGGGGGTTGCTATAGGGTCCGGGGCCTTAATGATTGGAATAGGGTTTTGGGGGTATATTAAACTATAACTAAAACTATAATAAGGAACCCCCCCAACACCCTATTCTGATAATAAAGGCCCCTACACCGTAGACCCCTATTTGGGATCTCTTGTAGAACCCTTCAGAGAACCGTCGCAGGAACCCCATTCTAACTGTATTCTTGGGTTTCGGGTCGTTGCCATCTATTCAGGGTTTACCTCATGCAACAGCTGAGCCGGTGTCACACACCATAGCACCGTCTAATCCAATCCAGTCTACCTACATACATACATATACATATACATATATACATATATATGCATATGCATATACACATATGTTTACTTAACCGTTTACTTGTATGATCTTGCATGCATGCATGCCTGCATGCATGTATGTATGTATGTATGTATGTGTGTGTATGTATATATATATATATACATATGTGCACATGTGTACATGTGTCGATATATATATATATATATACACATACATATATATACACACATACACTTATGTATATATATATATATATATATATATATGTATATATATGAACATACATAATTAAATATGTATACACATGCATATCTGTAGTACTGTAGGCGCAGGCGCACACACACACACAAACACACACGCACACACACAGAGACGGCAATGAACAGCGCTCACATGCCGATCACATGCATGCGTGTGTGTGTTGGAAGGATCTTCCGGTGTATTAATGTGCATACATGTATGCACAAATACTCATATGCATTTATATACACATGTGTACACATCATATGTAACTATATATTCACCAGGTGGTTCATGTATGCATGCATATGTGTGTATATGCATATACATATACATATACATATACATATACACATACACATACACATACATATACATATACATATACATATACATATACATATACACATACATATACATATACATACATGTATATATATATATATATATATACCATCATATATCCATTTCACATACAACCGAATAATCGAATATGTGTATAAATGAGAACATGTAGTCCTGTGTTGCCTGTGATACATGCAATACGCAATACGTGCTTTCAGTCCTTGCAATGTGTCGTGTGCCGCAAGGACTTTGATTTGTCGTCGACAGCGCACCAGGCTCAAGTTCCCAATAATTATTTATTCACCGACCTAAACCCCCACCGGGTCGTGTGGTGGTTTGAGGTTGAGTCGCCCTGCTCCGGCTTACGCATTTTATTTGTTGTGGGTTTATGATTTGTTTCTCAACCAGAGCAGAACGACGAGAGCAGAAAACCCAAACCCGGGGCTGCATGCCCTCGGCCATGAACTCGCTCCCTAAGCTCGAAACAATTATTAAGCCAGGAGCCCCCAACCCCGAGTTCAAAACTCAGCGGCCCAGATCAGAAACGAGCGAGCCTTGAGTGCGACCAAGATTGTAGCAGTGGTGGTGTTTTTGCAGTCGTCGTCGTCATGCTAGATTCTAGCAGCTAGAAGACATGCTAGTCGTTTGTTTGGGTTTTGCTGCTGCTTCTGCTTTTATTCACTAGAAGCAGCAGGTGCCATAGTAGCACAAGGCACAAGGCTAGAGACAAGGAGTTGATTTTAGATAGAACTTTGCTAGTGGAGAGGAGGATGACGAGTACCCGCAGTTGTTCGGACGGCAGAGTAAAGCAAATGTAGAGACGATTGCGGCCAAGCAGGCTGTCAAAGCACAGCAGCCAAACCAGCGACCAGGATAACAAGGCGTTCGGATGTATTTTCATGCAAGAGTGAATGCTATGCATTCAAAGTCGCGTCTATGACAAGACAGCCAGGTACTGTTAAGCTCCGCCTACTATTAGACCCATGACTTCTGACGGCCAGCTGAGATCGTAGATGTAAGCTCTTTTCAGAGGACTAGAACGGCTCCTTTGGTCACTAGAGCGTGAGTACTCATGATGCCTCAAGTGCCAAGCTGCGACTTGGGGAGCAAGGGCAGCGATTGAGCAACTTTGCACCGGGGCGAAAATGGCTCGAGGTGTGAGTTCCAGGGGCGGCCAAAATGCTTTGCACGCTTTCCGTATGCATGTATCACATGAGACGTTATTGTGCTGATGATTCCATCATACCGCCATGCGAGTTCAGTTCGTGGTAAAGTGGGCTTTGCAGCATTCAAAGCCCAAGCTCGGATGAACAATACAGGAACCTAAATAATTGCCTATACTATTTTGGGGGGTCCTTACTATCATAGTACAATGGGTCCCAAAACCCTATTCTAATTATTAAGGCCCCTATACTACACACGAGACCCTTTAAACTTCGTAGGAGCGGCTAGATTTCCATCGCGAAGTAGCTTGCAGAGCGTGTTGTTGGTGTGTCCACGGGTGCCTGTGAAAGGGTTTACAGTGTGTGCGATATGACATGAAAGGATTGAAGCCTCGGCTCTGTAAAATCGTCAAAACCGTTACGCTAGGTTGATGATCGTGGGAGCAATTCAGTGGTGTTTAAGGGTTTAGGCTATAGGGTTTACGGTTTAGGGCTTTGCGGTTTTGATTCTAGAGCTGGCTTTGAGCTTGCTGTTGTGACGTTTTAGTAGGTTAGTAGGTAAGGGAGCAACTCAGCGGTGGTGAATGGTAAGGCAAACTTGGAGTCGGAGTTTGCTCTTCTATAGTTTGAGACGTATGGCTCCTTATGTCTCACTTAAACCGTTGGCAAGCTTAAGCTTGAAGCCAGCATTCAGACCTTACAGGCCACGAAAGCATTGCAGAAAGCTGCCTGTTAGGCTTCAAGCAGGGGATGTTCAACCGTCAGCTCCGAGCCGCTAAACCCTAAACACCGACCAGGAAGATGAGTGGATGGTCCTGCTTTTAGGAGGCGACGCAACGGGCTTCGGGCTTCGCGTGTTGTATGTGCATGGGTTTTGGTTGGCGATTGTTCACCCGTAACCGAAGCCCCAAGCCCAAGCCCTAAGTCTGCTGCTGGGCTACCTGTTCAGTGCGCAGTGGTGGCCCGTGGCTTCGGGTTGGGGGGTATTTGAAAGAACCCTTCCCTGTACGATGTCTGTTATGTTTTTTGTTTGATTTTTGGTTCGCATGAACGCCATTGGTGAATGCTTTCAAAGCTCAGAAATATGATATGTACAACTTCCGCACAATTCAACAAACTGCTCCTTGCTTCGTGGCTCTGGCCTTCTAATGATTAATGCTGACTCTTCGAGTTGTGGATTTAAAGGGTCCGGCCTCGGGGTTTCGATCTAGTGTGTTTAGCTTTGGTTCGGGATTGGATTTCGGATTCGCGCGGCTGCCTGCCAGCCAAAGTGCGAGAAGGGCGATCTGTTTCAAAAGTAAAAGAAAGCGTTGAATAGCAACTGTGAGCTGTTGCAAGTATCCGGGCATCCAGTCAAAACGGGAGCGAGTTACGGATTCTGCCAAGTATTCGTTTAGCTTATAGGGCTCTTATTGGCTCATGAGGCTTTTACTGTTTCGCATTTAGGCAGTTTAGAGTATCAGGGCACTAAAGCCATGGCCGCAGCAAGAAGGCTGAGCTGGACAGCACGAAGCCCAAAATTTCACAATCCAACAAGGTCCTCATGTCCAGCAGCTTTCTGAGCCTCTCGAAGCTTTAATTAGTCGCCTGGAATCTTGCAGGTGTCCTGGGCATCCTCGTGGGCTTGGTCCAGGCGTGATGGTCTACGTATAGAACGGTTTGGGGGAGATCAGGAATCGATATTGCAAGGCAAGATGATGTTGGTCGCGTGCTGCGACTTTAGCGTTGAGGGTGTAGGATTTAGGGTTTAGGGAGTGAAAGTAAATTGCGGGAGTAGCTACGACACTCTCTCTCTCTCACTCTCTCTCACTCTCTCTCTCACTCTCTCTCACTCTCACTCACTCTCTCCCTCTCTCTTGTTTAAGGATCCTCCTCTGATCAGTGGTGTGCATGAAAGGGTTGACAGGATCCTCGCTGTCTCTACCTGGGACCCAGAGCAGACCCTTGTTGCCTTTTTGGGGTTTGGGTTCCCCTGCCCAGAGAGCCCAATACCCTTAATTCGGGAATATACCTTAAATCATTAGCTGCTGCATGTTATCCTTTAGGCTATCTTCCTGAATTAAGGGTCTCTGGGTGTAAACCCCTGTGCACCAAAAGGGTACACATTTTATTCCTAGACTACTCCAAGCTACCTGCTACCTACCAAAGCCTCAGCCAAAAGAATCCCCTTGTTGAGCCTGTTTCACATCCGACTCGAATCAAGGCTCAATCCGGCTCGTTCCTGCGTGCGCGCTCTTTTCTAGCAGATTGGGCCAGATGTGCTCTGTACGAGTTACCTTCATCTACATCTTGGGCATCGTGGGAAGTATCGCCCTCATTGTGGGGTGCGTTCTCTTGCCGCTGGGACTGGTGCAGCAGGCAGAGGCATCCTCGGCGGATCCTTCAACGGAGTTTGCCAGTGTGGGCACTTGCGAGATCACGCACGCGCTTCACCGGTCAGAATACCGACAGGAAGGCGGGGGGTCCAAGCAGCACCAGGGGAGTGTATGCTGGGATATCTACATCTACAAGTTTGAGCACCAAGGGCAGGTCTACCAGTCCAAGGAAGAATGGGTTCGTCGTGGTGGCGAACGCTGCGAGAATTCTGCCCAACGCGATGGGCTCTTTTCCACGGGTCAGGATGCACCTTGCTGGCAGGCTACTGGCGACGTTTCAAGTCTGTACAGTTTCGGCAACGATGCTGGTCTGAAAATCTTTGACCCAGCCCAGGAAGTTGAGGACGCAGCGCAAACAGCTGTAGCTCTCATTATTGCAGGGGCAGTGCTCTTGCCCATGAGCCTGATCTTCTTGCCAGTGGCGGCAGCCCTTTACAGATGTGGTGGATGCAACTGCAACAAGTGAGCTTCTTGCCGAACTAAGTACCCTGAAAGGGTCAAAGGCAACAGATGGCAGCTAAGCTGCAGACAGTTCCTTAGACAGTTTCTTGGCAAGAAAAGGTGCGGGGCTCGACACATAAGACAAACATGCATATCGTGTATGAGTGACACCGAGTGTGGTGTGGGATGTAAGCTGTAACTATACTGTAATTGCAACGCGGCTTAAACACCCTAAATCACGAACCTTGTACCCGAAACCCTTAAATCATACGACATTAGTATTCGCATCTCAAGACTCGGTTGCCCAAATCCTGGAGCCAAATCCCGGATGAGGCATGGGTGGTTGCCGGTTTTCCGTTACGAGCTTTAGGGATGTGAAGCAGCTTTCGGTGTGGGGGGGTGCATGGTTTACCTTGAGGATGTAGGGCTGTAGGACTTCAATCCGAGAGTAAGCGACGTGCTATCAACATCCCAGCAGAGCCAAGGCGAATTCAAGCACTTCTCCACCCAGAAATTCTTAATAGGTAGCTAAGTGGATACACTTTACACTTTTGGGTGTAATATTACCCACTGTAAAACTGAAAGTGTTTACTTTTGGTGGCTTATGAACTCAGCAACTAAGAATTTAGCTGGGCAGCAGTTGACAGCTACCCTAAGGCTCCAAAGCAGTGCCTTTTTGGGGCTCATATATAGAATCCTCTACGGTAATCCCAACAAGGAACTACAATGGAGCCTCGGGGTAGTTACTAGTTACTAGTTGCGATGCCTTGTTGGGCACTAACCGTGTAAGGCTGCGGGCGGGCTCTTGTTCCTGCATGGTTTTTAAGCTCTAACCCAAAGGCTCCATGTACCTTTATAGTAGATACTTAAGCCCCAAAGTAGTCCCTATATAGGTACTTTAAGGCCTAAGTATCTACTATATGGGTACATGGAGCCTTAGGGTAAACTCTTGGGCCTCAACCCTACGCCCTAAACATGGAACCCTTCACCTCGAATTCGAAGGCTTGCATCATTCTTGCAGTAGGCCCGAAATGGACCCCCTGGAACTAAGAAACTGCTAAACGTTAAACCTCTACTTGGAGGGGCAGCGGACTTAGTAAGTAGGTTAGAAGTAGGGTTATAATTGGGGTAACTCCATTTAGGGGACTTATAACCCAATTATAACCTACTTACTAAGTCCCATGATCCACTAAGTAGACCTTTGCACTAAACAGCCTTGGAGGCCCTCCTCCTCGGACGATAACCTCAGCAGAGTCTCCTCGTTGCTTTGCAAGGACTTTTCGGGCGTTGGTGTTTTTTTGTTGTTGTTGTTTTTTTTTTTTTTTTTTTTTTTTTTGGGGGGGGGGGGGCGGGGGCTTGGCTTTTTTCCAGGGCTCGTGGTACCTAAATATTGGCTTACTAAACATACAAAAACAGCATGTAACCTAAGATCACCCACTCTTCAGGTAACTGGAGCCTTAGGGTACTGCAGGAATTGTTGGACGCATTGCGTTTGGCTGGGGTTTAGGAGTTTTCGGGTCTTGGCGTGAAGGATCTTGCGTTTAAGATGTCGAGGGGCTTGGCTTGGCCTTGGGGTTGTGTTTAGGGCTTGGCGTCCCGTAACGCTAAACCCTACACCCACACAACTCTGAGGGTTTCACGTCTGGGTTCAGAGATCGAGGCGTCGCGATCTTACGGCGCAGCCTTGATCCTAAAGGATCCTTTCAATAAGGGTGCGCGACCTGCAAAGGGCATCCTAATTTAGAGGACGACCCACATCCAGCAGGTTTCCGGGTCTTGACGTCGATCTAAATTGCCCAGAGTCTGACGGTTCCTGAAGGAGACATTCTGCTCGCTGGCTTTCGAAGGGAATCGGTGTGTAGAAACCATTTCAATTGAAGATGACTTTCCAGACAGAGACAGAGTGTTAGCTTGCATTTGATGGGAATGGGAATCAGCGTATAGAAATCCCGCATACACGGCGGATAAACAGGATTTGTTATGCTGTTGTCAAGAAGTAGGTAGTCATCCCATCCCCCACGCACAAGTTCTCAGATCTTTGCAGACAAGGTTTGGTTCATGCCCAAGCATGCCATTCCCCTATATGGGGGTTTCCGAAAATTAGGGACCCTAATATAGTACCCTAAATAGTAGGATCCTTATTACAAGGACCTCAAAATAAGGTACCCCTCATTTTCGGAAACTCCCATATACCTTTTCTATCATCATGGCACTCGAAATACAGAGTGAAGCCTCGATCCGGGAGTTTGCCGCAAGACGGATTGCACCTGCTTCGAGGTTCAGGGGTAGTGATAAGTCGGGTTATAAGTTGCGTAGCTATGCTTATAACCCATGTTAGAGGGTTGTTTTATGACACCCTTTAATCTATCAACCTTCAAGCGGAGGATGCGAAAGATGGCACATCGTTCACTCCACCACCCGGCACCTCAAGGACGGAGCAGTTTCGAAGGATATGGCGTATGGGGCTCAAGTCTTTCATCGCCAGCAGCAGCATCACTGTCGCCATCAACATCATCGTCATCAGTATCAGCGGCAGCAAGTAGCAATAACATCATCCGCAGGACTAACAGTCCATGAACACTGGAACCGTACTTCGGGATAGGATTGGCGATGCCAACTGGTTAGCAGTGGGGCACAACTGCGAGTGCCGGTGTTTCCTGAGCATGACGAAGTAAGGTGCATGCATGCAAACTCCAAGAATGATGGTAGATCCTCTCATTGCTGCCTGCGGCCGTTCTATGAGCAAGACTTACATTCAGAACATTATGCCAATGATTTTGTGCACACAGTGCATACTCTTACATTATGCGAATGTTTTGCATCATCATCTGCATTGTCAGCATTATCACCCCCCGCCTCCCCAGTGAGAAGCCCGTAGCAGCAAACACTGCATGCAAATGGCACTTCGAGATGATAAGCTCAAACACACACACACACGTGTGTGTGTGTGTGTAAAGTGTATGTAATCTATACATATATGTGTATATGTTATGGTATGCACGGCATACACACACACATGCATGCTTACATACATACATACATATACATACTTGTTTGTATCTAACTATATACATATGTTCATGTTGTAATTATTTAGTCGTACGATACTACTCATCTTTCTAGTCTTATATGCACATACACCCTGGATGTGCTCCCCTGAGGATTGCGAGCTGAGGCCCACAGTGCTGGCCCTCCAAAGGGGCCACGGCTTGAAAGGCTCCGTGGGACCCCACGAGCTCATGGCTCCGGAAAGCATCCAGCCCTACCTTGAGCTGCCTAAGCTTACAGTTTTTCTCATTTTTGGTAGGTTTATCGTGTATTCGGGTTTATAATCGGAGCTTACGGAAAAGTAGGTTGTGGTAGTTCAGGGTAGTCGTAAGTTTATTGGTTGTAAAGCCTCCTGGTAACTTAGCCCCCCAAAACTCCAAACCCGTAGGCCGTTTCAATTTCCCAGATCTTACCCCAGTGCCCTGTAACCCTTCAACTCCGTAAACCCTAGACCGCAAAGCCCTATAGTCACTTTCACTCTAAAAGTCGACTTTGGATGCAAAAAGTCCTAAGTACCCATATGAGGGATACGTACACAGACAGAAATAGTAATTACAATTACCCTTCTTGCGACCATCTATCTACATATATATATATATATAGATATCTATCTATATAGATATCTATCTATATCGGTACTTAAGACCCTTGGGGTTTGGATGCAAAGGGGAGCCTGGGCACGAAGCTCCGGTCGCGCGGCGTGAGCGGTGAGAGACAGCGAGGAGGGGCGCAGCGAAAATGGATGCCGCAGTGTTTAGGGTTTAGGGGCTTAGGGATTAGGATAACCCTACTTATAGAGGACTGATAGGATAACAGTTGTATTTATCACCCTACTTACTAAGTCCCCTGGGCCTTTAATTTAAGCAGGCTTCACGTTGACATGTTGCAAGTGGAGTAGAACCAACAGTGACACAGCATCAGGGATTGCAGTTGACTTATGGCTCTTCCATTGGAAGAGGAACGGTATTAGGGATGCAAACTTTCGGGCTGGAGCTGGTATGTGAATGCTCTGCTCGGAATCAGGACTCTTCCCCAAAGCGTCCTAAATACCTGTTAATGTAAATAGTAGAATGTAGGGTTTCGATACAAGGAATTGCTAGTATGATTTTGGGAGGTACCCCCCATACCAGTACCCAGGACCCTTTTGGTTCTCAAGTCTTATCAAGAAAAGTATGAGTAACCTCTGAATCAGGACTCTTCTAAACACTAAAACTCAACAATCCCTAAACCCTACCCTAAGGCCCCAAAGTAGTTCCTTTTTGGGGTTCACATATAGAATCCCATAAGGTAATCCCAAAAAGGAATTACTTTGGGGCCTATGGGTAAGCCCGTATACAACCTATATAAACCCCGAGACTGCCCAGAGCAGTACGAGTAAACTTGGAAACGATTTCAAGCCCTGGGAAGCCGAGGTGTTCCATTGTGACTGCAACTTAGACGCTCAAATAGCTGGTAAGGTTGTTCCTTAGGCTTCCTTGGTATAGCAAGTCATAATTATAGTATAGCATTAGTGTACCATAATATAAATACTTCCTATAATATCATGACTAATCCCGAGGCTTCATTCTGATGACTACTGTATAGTATGCCTTGAGAAACCCTGGTCTTGTTATTCACGACGCTATAGCACAGCTCAGGTCGCATGGTCGGCGCGCTGTTTCTCCTTGCCCAGTGACGCGGGTAAAATGTTGATGACCTCGTCCAAATTTCTAATGCCTAGGTCTTGATTGAAATCAACTGCCCGCAGTTTCGCTCGACGCTGGCTGTGACCTCAGAAGAGAACTGTTGCAGACCAAGTCCTACTACATTTTCACCCAGACCTGAGACCCTCACTGCACGGAAGCCGAAGGGCTTCTTGATGTCGAAATTGCCACAAATTGCCAGAGCACTAGATGTGAGTGACGGCCGGGCCGTGTCAAAAAGGAGCCGATGTCTCAGCTTGGAGTTGCAGGCTCCACCAGCCCCGGACACCAAAGTTATATAGTCTCGCATCAGCGCAGCTGAAATCACCAACCTCATCTTCATTCGTATCCCTAAGGCTCCATATGCACCAACAGCCTTATATAACATGGTCCTGAGGCCCAAAAGCCCTAAAAATGTGAGTCCTCAGAGCCTTGGGGTAAGTTATAGAAGTCCTCAGGCCCGGCTACCTAGAGGCTCTATAGTCGTGCCTTTTCGTGGCTCATGTTTCGAATCCTATAAGGCCATTCCCAAGAAGGAACGACCATGGAGCCTATGGGTAGAGTCTATAGAGCGAAGGACGTAGGTCCGAGGCGTGGCCTGGGGTACTACGGTTGATTATGTAATTTCTGCATTACCTTACTGACCCTAAACTATGGGGGTTATGGTATATTCCTTATTCTGGGGAGTGCAGGATTTATATCATCAACCCTAAACCCTAAACCGTACAGCAGCATCGCCACGGGAACTACTCGAAATCCCCGTAGCTGCTCGATCGTGCCATCGGAGAGGCTCTCAACCAAAGAAGACACCGGCGAGAGCTCACGGAGGTGCCTCTGTAAGCCATGAGCCGTGCTATTTGATGAATTATTCGGGGCTTCTGGTTTTGGAGTTTCCGGTGCATGCCTTGTGGGTGAAGGCTTGAGGGTTCAGTGCTGAGTGTCTCAAACTGAGGGTCCGGCGGCTCTTCATAGTGCACCTTCGGAATATGTTGATGGTTGTATGCTTGTTGTTGCTTTCAGCGATGCTAGTAATAGAATAGCTTTGTTGTTCAAGTCAGATACTGCAAATACTGCATTGCTACATGTACAAGTAGTGCCAAGTCATGCTATCCCCCCCCATCAGCAAAAAATATCGGACTAAAACAAGGATCCCTGAATGGTGTATATTCTTAGACATACGAAGCACCTTGCATTTAAGGACCCGTGGCACGAGCGAGATTTTCGTTCGGAGGACTAGAGGCAAGGACCCCGGAGACGAAACGGAAACCTTAAACCTTAAACCCGAAACTCACAAAATCCTAGCCGGGCCTAAACCCTAAATTCCGAAGACCCTAAAACCCTAAACCCCAAAACACTACGATCCCTTTCAGACCCCGATCTTTGTTTTCTTGTGGCTTCAGCCGCTTTCAAATTTGGGCGCTTGTCAAAATTATGGTCCCTTTTTGGGTCCTTAATATAGTACGGCACCTAATATTTACGGTACCCAAAAAGGGACCATAATTTTGACAACTAC